CCTAAAATCAATACCCGTAACAATGAGAGGTCTATCATTCTTTTTTTTTATATCTTCCTCAAATTTTTGAATCAGAAAATATATGAACCATCACAAAATTAACAGAACACTTGTAGATTGATATTCGAACAATCCCATCAAATAATAATGAAGAATATGCATAAAATAATTAAATAGAAAAGGATAGAGAAAATAAAAGAAGAACCCAGATGAGAACAAAACCTGTAACAATGGCTGTGAGGCCAGTTCCATCAATTCCTTGTGTGACCTCCTCAGCAGTAGAGGAAGCTGAGAACCCAGATGGCCCTTTCCATCCAAAAATCCACATTTTTCTCTGATATTGATCACAAAACCCAACCAGGGTCTTCTTCTTGGTCAGTCAGTGTTCTACTCTACCAATGTTATACATATACATATGCTGCCATATATTTTTACGTGGGCATAGTCGATTATCGGTTTCTTCGTTGAAAATTGAAGGAGCTCCACACGTGTAAGGGCAAATCAACGATGATTTTTACTTCCGCTTGATCTACGCAAAGCCGTCGATTTCGTTCGTGAAAAATGAAAGTGCGTCAATTGATCGGAAGATCGAATCTCATAAATATTAATAATATTTTTTAAAAATGAAAATAAGAAAGAGGAGAAAAAAAAAATTGAAAACTAATCATTAATAAAACCTAAACGTTTTAAAATAGGACTTTTTTATAATTTTTTTGAAAAACAATACTAATTAAATGACCACGTAAAAAAAAAAAAAAAAAAAAAAAACTAAAGTTGGGCTTTTTGAGTGACTTGAGAATGTCTTTTTGAATCCATCAATTAGCATTAGATGATACAATCTCTCTTTTTAAAAGAGAAACTTTGGATCACTAAGTTCAACTCAATTCTTTAAATATAAAAAGGCATAGTGAAAAATTTAATAAAATAGTTTATTTCCTTCCATCTCAAACATAACATGATTAGGTATTAAGTATTCTTAACACTATGATTTTTATTTTTATTTTTTTTATGTTTTGTTTTCTCTCACTAATCCACCAAACATCATTAACACTATATATATATATATATATATATATATATATATATATATATATATTTTCTTAAAATAATAAATTTGTTATGCTTTTTCTTTTTTGTCCTCTTGCTACACCAAACATAGCTCATTTATTGACTTCGGTTTTTATCATTAGTTAATCCATGATACTAATCTACCCCATACAAGGGTTAAACCGAAGAAATTATGCATCATGGGAGGGATTAGTTGTAATACGCTAAATTGTAGGTAAAAAAAAAAAAAAAATTGCATTCATTTAAAATTCTCCCAAATTCATCAAACTATATTTCTTAGGCCATTGAGCCTAAATACAAATAACTTTAAGTACTTCAATCCAAATGATACCTTAGAATATGTTTATAAATTAGTCAAGGTAGAGTTCACCGGCAAATAAAGTCAAAATTGGCGCACGGAAGATAGGAGGTGATGTACCACAAACCGACCCACATTTATGCTATAACTAGTAACATCTGAACTCTTTTCAAGTGATTCTATGGATGCATAAAAATGTATATCCTTTTTGCGCACTAATTATTTTGGGAAAATTACATATAAATGGAGTCAAAGTTCTATATTTACTTAGAGGCTGAGTCAAAGTTTCATATTTCTCTAAAATGGATTGCTGAGGTGGCACATGGTTTTTTACTGTTTAGAAATTGTGGTGCCTAAAATACCCTTCCGCGAAGGTACTATTTTTTCTTCGAAGGTACTATTTTTTTGAACTGAAGGTACTACTTTTTGGTGTCCAGGTACCATGTTTTTTAAACACCCGCGAAGGTACTACTTTTTCTCTGAAGGTACTACTTTTTTGAACTGAAGGTACTACTTTTTTGTTAGGGAAGGGCATTTTAGGCACCACAATTTTCTAAACAGTAAAAAACCATGTGCCACCTCAGCAATCCATTTTAGAGAAATATGAAACTTTGACTCAGTCTCTAAGTAAATATGGAACTTTGACTCTATTTATATGTAATTTTCCCAATTATTTTCATCTCTCACGTGTGAATTCAGAGTTTCAAAGGGGTTTTTAGAACCAACCATCTCAGATGAGATAGATTATTGATGCAAGGTAAAATGTTAAAAAAGAACCCTTGAATTAATTTTTTTCCCCAAATTACCCTCTGGAATTATTTTGTGACAAAGAACCCTTTGATCAATGGACCAAACAGAGTACGAGCTTGCTTGAATTACCTTACCAATCAGATTGGTAGTCCAAAGAACTATGCATTCCTGTCCCTTATTATTTTCAAACACACCTTCTATGAGAGTAAGCTAAAACAACCATTGTAGACTGATGGAGCTCGTCCTCGACATAAGTTGTGGGGTAATTGACCTGTATGTTTGTGATGGGGAGCTCGTCCTTGACATAAGTTGTGGGGTAATTGACCTGTATGTTTGTGATGGGGGGAGCAGAGAGGTGTTCATATAGCAAAGGTGTTCATATAGCAAATATGCCGCTTGCAAAATTCAAGCCCCAAACCTTCTCGAAAGGAGAGATTATAGAAATCATACCATCCGAACTAGTGACGCTGTGAAGAGCTTTTTGCTGCATTATGGAATTTGAACTCTATAATGGTATAAAAAATAGGACTAACACACACAAACAGTTGCAGTAAACTTTAGAAATTATGACTACCTTAGCCATAAGCCGACGATAGTGAAACCTGATGGCCACTGATCCCAAAGGTAAAATTCATTCAATGAACTCAACAAAAGATTTAGATACACAAACACTACTTGCTCAATAATTTACACACATAATTAACATTCAGGTACCAAATCCACGATCCACATCACATTAAGATTTAAAAAAAAAAAAAAAGGGAAAGACACGGCTAATAGAAGGAAACTGAGTGATAGAAACACGGGAGAGGTAGGCATGTGGGCAAGCATCATCAAAGAAGAAAAACTCAGCTCCTGGACTTGAAGGGAATGGCTCTAATAACTATCTGGTGGTAGAGGGCAGCAAGAGCAGCTCCGATGAACGGTCCAACCCAGAAGATCCACTGAAACCATAAGAATTACAATCAACACTCATTCACCATCAAAGAAAAACAAAACATAAAACTTTTGTTGCGATTATTAATCAGAAGACTTACATGGTCATCCCATGCTTGGTCTTTGTTGTAGATGATGGCAGCACCAAGACTCCTAGCTGGGTTGATGCCAGTTCCTGTAATGGGGATGGTGGCCAAATGAACCAAGAACACTGCAAACCCAATTGGAAGAGGAGCCAAAATCTGCAAAACAAGACAAGTTTGAGCAACTCAAGATTAAAATCATAAAGTTTTTCATCACAAGCAGCCACAACCTTCAATGTTTTGCACAACCAAGTATCAATATTGAAAACTTGAGGTTTTTAGTTAATAACATTGTTAAGTACAAAGAAATCATAACAAATCAACTGTTCCCATGATTATTCAAATTGTCCAATTATGTTCAAATTATATATCAATAATTTACCTGTTGCAATGATCATTGTTTTTGACATAAAAAACTATAAAATAATAAAATAATAAAAAACAATGACTAAAAAAACAATCTAATAGGGACAACACAGGAAAAATATTTGGTGGTACTCTTCTGCTGCCACATACTACTAGAGTAGAAAGACACTATAAAATTTTCTATATAAGATAAAAGGAATTTGTTAAAATGAGAGTTACTGGAAAAAAAAAAAAATAAATAAAATTGTTAAAATGAGCATTGCGTAATTTTATCATTTTCAAAAATATCACTACCACCATCAGATTCGTGTAATACAAACAAATGGATTTTAAGAGAACTCACACATTTCTACCCACTGTAAAAATCCATTATCTTAACATGTACAAACTGATGTAACACTAGCATTTTTGAAGATGATATCAAAGTAATAATAAGCATATATCACTTGAATATAACATTATAACAAAGTAATAAACATCAATCACCCTTGAATTTAGAAGACAAAACTATATGTCTATGTCACGTAGATCACAAGTTTCGTATGAAGATGTAACGACCCTTCTTTTCCATGAAAGAGAAGAGAGAGGGGAATGTGACATTAGAGATGAAAGAAAGAGGGTGTTACACCCTCTAGCTATCAAAGTATATCAGCCCTCCACATTAACTCATCGCATTCTCTTACCACCTATGAACATAAAGTAATGTAACTTAGGTGAGAATGTTTATTGGCCTCTTTCCCTGTCAATATTAAGAAGGCGGTAACTTGAGCCAAACACTAAGTTACGTGATAACTCTCTATTTTAAAAGAAGTACCAATAGAAAAGTTCAGTCTATTTCTAACACTAACAACCACCAATAATTGTAGCCTAATGGTATCACATCTACCTTCTATAGCAGAAATTTGTCAAGAATAATTATAAATGTACTAAATGAAAATATATATATTAATCAATAATTAAGTTTCTGGATTTATTATTTTGATTTAAAATTATCTCTTATTACTATTGGCAAAACTCAAGAGGTCGCCCCACCGAAACAAATTTCTGGCTCCAGAGAAAGCCTAGAAAACATAATTAATAATCCACTAAAATGAAATTTGCAGATCATAAGAACTAAAGCTTAATAAGCTATTAAACAAAACCCATTAAGAAACAACAATTTCTACCATAAACCAGAAAAATCCATTACCAAGTGTCATGAAAAATCAATTATATTGTTCAAGCCAGACACAAAACATTAGTCAAAGCATCATAATGGACCCATATTAAGCAAATTTGTAAGACAACGATTTATGAATCTGAATCAAATAGAGAAGAACAAAGAATACATACAGGAACATGTGAGTCTCTGGCATTTCTCTTGGCATCAGTGGCAGAAAAGACAGTATAGACAAGGACAAAGGTGCCAACAATCTCAGCACCAAGACCATCACCCTTGGTGTAGCCATGGGCCACAACATTGGCCCCACCACCTTTCGTCTCATATAGGGTGTTCCCCTGGAGGCCCTTAACAACACCAGCACCACAGATGGCGCCAAGGCACTGCATCACTATGTAGAAGATAGACCTGGTTAGGGACAGCTTCCTTGCCAAGAACAGACCAAAGGTCACAGCTGGGTTGATATGCCCTCCTGTTGCAAAAAGCACATAGTAGATCAATATAATTGAGTTTTAGACCATAAGAAGCAAAGGGTCATCATGTCTAGAGAGTAGAGAGAAATTAGAACTCTAAAACCTTGGATAACTGAATCAAGGACAAGATGCAAGGAAAAAGTACCAAGATTATATCTTTTTCACTGTCCGCTCTGCACACTCCCCTGTTCAAGGTTCTCAAAACGCATCTACATAGTTTGTCAATCCCCGTTAAGAAATGGGGAGTGTGCCCCCACAAGCGTTAGACAATCCAGTAGGGTGTTCAAATCGGAAAATATCTAATCTCTCCTAAATTCTAAGGGTACATGTAGAATTTAAAGAGTACTTTTAGAGAACTTCAATTCTAATTTGTAACAGTAAATAAAGTTGTACAACTCTTCTAATACACACTATCCGTCTAATAGAACAAGGTCAGGTGATCCAATTAAGCATTTTATGCTATGGGTCATGTCCCAAAATTCCAATTACCTAAAAAAAACAAAAAAACAAAAAAATAAACACACACACACAGAAAGAGAGGGATTTGCTGCTAACCTGAGATACCAGCGGTGCAGTAGACAAGGGCAAAGATCATACCACCAAAGGCCCAAGCAATTCCTTGGATACCCACTGAGGCACATTTGTTGGGTGCTCTAGACACACCCATGACAGTCAAAACGGTTATGTATAAGAACAAGAAAGTGGCCATGAACTCTGCAATACCAGCTCTGTAAAAAGACCATGACTTTAGCTCTCCAGGCTCAAACAGAGGTGCTGGTGGAGGCTCCTTGTAGTCCTTGTCTGTCTGTGCAGAAGTACCCAATGGTTGCCTCTCTGGGTACTTGTTAGCTCCAAGCTTAACATCTTCTTCCTTACCCTCCATTTTCACTCAATAAGCTCTCTCTAGATCTCTCTCTCTCTCTAGAACTAGAAGCCCTTTCCTTTCAGCTCTAAAACCTAGAAGCGAAGTTGTAAATTATAAAGAACGGATGTGGTTGGGGTACTTTATAGGTGGAATGTCATTATTTGTGTTAGAGAGAGAAAGAGAGAGTTCTGGAAAATGCAGACTTGACGTGACCGTGAGATGTTTTTGAATGGCTCTAGTTGTTTGTTCTTATCTTCTAATTCTACTGAGTGACCACAATTATTTATAGCTTAATTTAGAAGCACTTTTGCATTTGATTAGATGTTCTGGGCCATCTGATTCAACTAATCATGAAATAAGAACGTTGAAAAAAAAATATTTAAATCGTTGGGTAAATCATAGCCACGGAAATGAAATACCATTGCAAAGCAAATCGAGTGGCTGAGAAAAGGTTATAGCCGTTTTTCTGACCGTTGGGAAAGTGACTGGCAAACTCTCGTGTCCCCTCTCAACAAATAATTCAGAAATTTCAGACTTTTTAGATATAACCATTTTTTTTTTTATTATTATTGAGCAGAAAATATTATAATTAAACTTAATACTGTACATCAAACTACTTTATTTATTTATTTTTATTTTTAGATAAGGTTGATACCTCAAATTTCTTTTGTAAGATAAATTTAATTTTTTTTTTAAATCCTATCAAGAAATACACATTATATATCATTCAACCAAACTTTTTACTATAAAACATATAAAAGAAGATATCACTAGATAAAATCTTAAATTATTCTTCAATTCACAGTAAATATACTTTCTTAAAGCAATACCGAGTAGTGATTTTTCAATTGTAAAAGAAACCTATAAATTGAAAAAAGACCAAGTTTAATTTTTTTTTTTAATTATGAAAAAAGACTCTTGGAAGTTCGAATCCTATTTCTACTAGTTAGGGTCCAAACTTTGCATTATAATCAAATGGTACTATGATTTAACTATAACAACTAAAATCATTTCCGTGTAACTGTTTGAGTCTTTGGGCTCCTGTCTCCCATCCTGTATGGTTTGTTTGGGTCAAAGGTCACTCCTGTACAGTTCCCTTTATATATATATATATTAGCTTTATTTTTCAAAAAAAAAAAAACTAAAATCATTTCCTCCCGTCCTGTGTGGTTTGTTTGGGCCAAAGGCCACTCCTGTACAGTTCCCTTTATGTGTGTATATATATATATATATATATTAGCTTCATTTAAAAAAAAAAAAAAAAAAAAAAAATTTCCTTTCCAATATGCCATTAGATTGCATGATCAATAACAATATATAGAAGTGGGATTCATATGATTTGTCCCCTTCATAGTAATCTTGTTGTTTTATGTTTATATTAAAAAGGGGTAACCAATCATGCTTGACAACTCATTCTCATCGGATGCCCATTTGGCTTTGTGCCTTTAATCACATGCACCCATTAGGTCCCACTCCACCTGCACCCGGGGCCCACAATGCCAACCCATCTTGACAATGGAATACAACAAAAATTCCAAACCATCGGAGGTTCCGTTCCACTCCCAAACACCTCACCATCAACCGCCCAATCCTCATCCCTCGGTCCATGTGGCATCAATCTGATGTCACAACTTCTATTTTCTACCGTGCTCCCCACCCTCAGCAGTGAAGCTGACCAACGGACCAATTTTGATTTTTCTAACACGTGGCACCAACCCATAAGAGAGATGCATTTTACTTCAAACCAAAGTTCCATTGAAAGCAAAATTGCATTATCAATGAGATACATGACATCTACCTACTTTTTTTATGCTTTCATTTTCTTTAAATTTTTTTATTTAAAAGGTAAAATTAAGAAGTGTAAGATCAGTATTGAAATAATTATGAGATTTAACACCACAATTGTGCAATTTCATATTCTGTCTGAAAAAAAAATGAAATGTAGCTGTATAATCCATAATGAAGATTTTGTGTTCTGGCCCTTTTTTATTTTTTTTATTATATATATATATATATATATATATATATATATATGTAGATTGTGTGTATCAAGTGATGGCTTAATCATGGCATAGTTGAATTTGATATAAATTTAAGTAACTAAGAACAGCTCACTTGTTAGTTCTATATTATATCATGACTCATGAGTGTGGAAATTACAATTCTTCAATTCTCTTGGAACTGTTTGGTTACAAAGATACCTGGATGCGTACAGAAACACAAGTTGGTGATGCTTGGTGGCAATGTTATATCCAGATCTGTAACAACCAACATTGTCCTTGTCATTGAAAAGATAAGAACATCCCAAATTGTAAAGAACGCATGATGACTTTGATTGAAATTTAAAAATGAGAAAATGAGTGCTGAGCATTTTGAGCAGCTAAAGTTTCAACACGGCACTTGTAAATTCAGACCTTTTTAAAAGAGCATTCACCATTTAGTAAAAAGTCAAGTCTTCATTCATGACTTGAAACACTGATTCTCTGAAAGAAAAATTTTCTTTGGAAGTAATATTCTATTGCAAATTATTAAACTAATGTTCCCTTTGTTTATTTTACAATGAAATGAACTGAGTAAAATATCTATATACCGTTTGATAACTCAATTATATATATATATATATAATTGAGTTATCAAACAGTATATAGCACATTTGCTACCAAATAGCAATAAAATACTACCTTAGGCATTCTAAAACATCAGACATCTGAAAGTATTTTCTAGGGGGCAAACGTAAAGGGCAAGGTAACAGTATACACTGAGAAATGTACAAGGGCCAAACATGAAACACCTATACATATACCTACACATGCACACATATAAATACACATTGCTCTTAATAAATAATCAACACTGGGTTAATCTAAGCCCATTAAGGGCTAATGTAACATTTCCAATTTCTGCTAGGCATTGATAGACTGGTGCTTTACCAGGACCATTGATGATGATCTACCGTGTATTAACAAATACCACAAAATTACAAGAAGCTGCATTATTTTTCTTCATTTGATTCTTCAGATGATTGGAGATGGATATGAGGGCACACTCTTTCTGGTTCTCCTCTTGTCCAGAGAATTTTAAGATCGCCTCTCTTACTTCCCAATGCCAAAAAGGTTCCTGCATTTATGCGTGAAAAATCAATGACAAGATAATTGCAACATATAACGCCATTTTGTATCCAAAAATATTTCATTTGCTTATTGCAGTGAAAATTACCGAGTGTGAATGGGACGATGTAAAGAAGTGCCGGTTGGCCATGACCGTCCATCAGGTTCAATGCAACGTATGTTATAAGAAGACCTGCCATGGATTTGAAAAATCATAGAGTATTTTGACATTGCAAAATTTTAAATATACTAAGAAAAGAAAAACCATGGTAATGCAAATATGACCAATAGTATTAAGTTCTTTTTACTTCTTAACCTTCTTTCATTGTTAACTAGAAAGAGAAAGGAGATCGGTATTATTATTTTACCTAATCCATAAGCAAGCATTGCCCACAAAAAGTATCCAGCACGAAGATTCTTCTTTGCCAGCCAATCGTACCTGCAAAGACAATTTATGTTATTAACTAAATTGAACTTATTAGTCGGAATAGATCAGATATTGATTTTCAACTCATTTGGTGCGTGCCAAATTACAATTAGCTGTTCTGTTGCTAAATGAGAGAAAATAATTCTTACTAACAGCTGATCTAGTACAAAAGGTAAAAAGTTGTTATAATTTCAAGTCCAGGAATATTGGTTGTCACGTTTTTGGAGATCTAGGTTTGTTACTGAAATCATAATGGTATTATTAACTTTTCAAGTTAAATATTTTATGAGTAACATTATCCTGAAAGACTGAATAGTTAGAGAACTCTCAATTTGTTAGTAACATCTTTCCCTGAAAAGCAAACAATTTTTTTTAATTTTAAATCAGCCGAATTTGGCAAACCACAACTATTGCTACAAGAAACACCAAAGTATATTATCTGAGCTCAAGCACGGGTAAAATAAAGCACCAATAGAAAGGAAACTCTCAAACAAAGACAAGTCTGCAGATGTCTAACCTAAGTGAAAATGCTATTAATAATCCTGGCAAGATAATGTCACCAAATCCTATGATGCTGTAACCACCCCATGGATCATACATCCGTGGAATCTTCAAAAGCATTGGAATACCATCCTCTCCACTTTTATCACCACGAGCTACCTATAATGATATAAGCAATCCAAATTAATATTTTAGCAATCAAAGCGTAAATATCCTGAAACATTAAGTTATAATCAAATATGATGATAAAGTAATGTGTGAAAGATTACTTACCACAATCATCACACTTTCATGGAACAACTTCGTTGAAACAAACACCCAAAATATATCATACAGAAAAGCACAACTGAGAAGAACTGTCCCCACCTGATTTACAAAAGCACTCGACATCATGTCAGAAAATATATACTAAATATTAAAGGATGCTATTGTTTTGAAATGCATTCCATTTATAATTTTGCAGTCTTGACACTAAGTTGTTCTGTTCAACAATTCATACCAATTAAAGCATTAATAAATTAGGCATGTTCATAGGATTTCCATGAAATTAAGAATAATGAATGCCTTGCGTTTCTTCTCGAATAACCAAGCTTGTTAATCAACTAAGCTTGTTCACAAACCAATTCTTGAAGGAAACAAACAAGAACTTTTGCAACATTGGACGACTTTTGTGCTTCCTTTTCCCATCTGGTTTCACAAGAAACTGGTGTGGTCCAACATAATTCAGTTATGGACCTACGTCATTTTCTTAGTTGACTTTGGTGTTTAAAATCAACATCTAAATAGGTGGATAAAATGGTAAGAGACTAAATGGCATTAAACCACCCATCCGACGACCCTAAAGGGAGGACAATAACAATTTTCCAGACAAGGAGGGAGAGCATTGTAATTGTCAGACATCTAATTGATCAATGCAATTTACCCAACTTTAAAAACCCCGGCCAAATCCATTCCATCATAATAGCATTCATTCCAATTTGTAGTTATTTTTTATTATATCTTCATAATACTTGCGACATGTAGGAGCTTATGTCCAGACTCTAGGAGGACATTAGTAAACACAGTAGCATTATCATTGACATTATTATTTCTAGTGGCTTACCAAACAAATAGCCCTCAAAATTACAAACCACGATAGCATTTTCTCAAGGTAATGCGTAATGAACTCGAGATGTGTGAGGTTTAACCCTTACACTCCGTCATAGATTGCATTGAACATACTTTAAAATGAGATATCCATGGAAGTTTGAGATTAGCTGCAAATTAGAAATGAGCACATGTAACCTTGAGGCCAAAGCCTTGCATTCCTATATATATTGATGTATAAAGCATTAAGCATAAGCGTGCATGGAAGAACACCCACTCAATTTTGTAGATAATGTCCTCCACTGAAGTCCATCGAAGGAACATGTGAGTATAATGGAACACAAACGTGGGATTTTCAATATCTTCCCGAACAACTTTATATCACGACCATAATTTAAAACCCAACGGATCCAAGAAATGGCTAAGGCAAGCCTAACGTAGAGACATTTCCAAAAGATAGCAAAATGAGTTTGAATCATTACCTTTAGATTAGGTACACGTACAATTTGAAGAACTGTAATTATCAGTGCAATTCCCTGATTCAAGAATAAGTAGAAGATAACATCAATAGTTGAACTTTTCCATAATTTAGAACAAGGCTGTGACATGTGCTCAAGTCCCAGTCATTACTTGGTGAAGTGATAAAAATTCATATTGCCAAGCATGAGAGGTTCCGATCTCAGGGAAGGCAGTCATTTTGTGCAATTAATGCCAAAGGACAGGTCTGTACCCACTCCACCCCTCCCACACCCTTGATAGCAAGAACCAATACTACGTAATGCCTTTTTCTTGCTAAGCCGCATATTAAACATCCATTTAATATAAGATAGGTAGCAACATGCAGAAAAAGGATGTACAACTGATCAGGGAGCCCCTCACATGGGGAATTCCCTTAAACATATAATGATACAAGGAAATGAAAAGATAGCACATGCAACATTTACAAACAAAGGTGAGAGTCATGAGACAATGGGCAAGTTGTTGCTTTAGGTATCTGCCTTAACATTTTAGTTTACAGAAAGAAACAAATAAGAAAAAAGGAATTCAATTAGGAAAATTCCCAAACATATGATCTACCATATTCTTCCCAAAATAAATTGAATACACACAGAATATCTGCCCCAATACTACTACTCGAAACAAAGGTGAGAGTCACCAGAAAATGGGCAAGTTGTTTCTTTAAACTGATTTTTGAATTGAATTTTCTCTAATTCCAATTCCAAATCACCAATTCCATGCTTCCGAACATCGCATCAGAGTATTTAACTCAAGCGGGGCCAAAAGATATGGTACATCATATAAAAAAGTTCGAATTTAGAATAATGACAGATTTTGGTCTCAAATGATGATATTTGTCCAAAATTGTCATTTATATTATTTTTTACATTAAAACACTACCCACATTCTAAAACTAGAATTGCAACACTGCACAGAAAAACTTTTGGCTCCACTGCCTTTTAACCCTTATTGACTTCTTGCATGAGCTCAACATATGACTGTTGGTCGTTACTAAAAAAGCAACTACATCCATTAAATGGGGAAGAAAAGTGAGGAGATGTAAATAATTTGTTAATAAAATAATTAGAAAACAACCAAAAAAAAAAAAAAAAATATTGCTATGGAAATAAATAAAAATGTTTATCCTTACAAGTACATCTTGACCAATCCAAGCAAAGGAAGCATTTCGATAAACTGCCCAAACAACTGCGAAAGTTATGCAGAATGGAGAAACAGCCAAAGTAAGATACGAGACGGCTCCAAAAAAATGTACTTTGATGAATGATTCTCCAGCATGTTTGAACCACCTGAACGAGTATGTGGTCAGTTAGTTCTAGAACTTCAACATGCAGGAAACAAATATTTTAGCCATACGAAGACTTTAAATTGACAAACAGTTTGAAAGGAATTTTAGCAGCAAGTATACACAAAGACATGCATGGACACAAACTTGCACCAATTTCCATTTTTTTGTTACTGTGAATGAAACATGACATTCTCATATCACTAGTCTTTAACATAAGGGTGAAAGTTTCCAACCATTGCACCATTCATAACAATAGAAATTATGGATTGAAAGATATGTAAAGTACAGCAGAATGTTCCACAGAAAGCTTGCCAGAAAGTAGCATCAAACAGAACCTGTTCATCAAGGTCTAGAAGCATTCATCAGCTACAAGCCTACAATTACATAATAACTCAATAAAGTTTCTCAGATGTCATACTAGAAGTTAGAACAACAAACACTTAAAAGTGTTGGAGGTTTAGGGTTTAGACTTGAAACCTTGACCTAGGGCTTGGGATTTAAGACCCAAAGCCACTAGGACAAAGGTATAAGAGTAAAATGAAACAACTATCTTCAACTCAAATCATTTAGCATTGGTAAAACTACAGATTGCACTACAAATTGCCAGTAATAGCCTTAGAAAGAAATATAATACCTACTATTATTAGTTTCAAAATTTTGACTTTTATTATTTACAATTATAAGATTATATTGTAACAAATTATCATCTGTATTACTTGTTAACATATTTATTATTACCTTATCAGTGAATATTAGCAATATATAGTGTTTTTGTGTGCAAGTGGAATGAGGCAAAGAAGAAGAAGATGATGATGATGATGCTAATATAGTGTTTTTCTATTGAACTGGTTCAAGGCAAGGAAAATGATGACGATACAGTGTCCTTCTGTATGAAAATTAGACTTGTTCTTTTTCCTTGCTATAGATAGCAATCATAGCACTAGTGTTAAAAGCACAACTCTCCACTCAATTAACCTCATCCCATCTATTTGGGGTTGACTAAATGAATCATATAAAGGATTTCCACTTTATAGAGTGCAGAATTCAATAAAACATATGCATTGGAAGATGATTATCTTATAAAGGATTTGGGGCTGACTAAATGAATCATATAAAGGATTTCCACTTTATAGAGTGCATAATTCAATAAAAAATACGCATTTAAAGATGATTATCTTTAAAAGAAAATCAAGAACCTAAACAAACCCAAGCTCAAAACTTGGTTGTAGTAGGTATATGAAAAAGAATTTTCAGTTTGCTTTCTCACAGAGAAAGAAAAGCTTATGAAGAGATTGAAATTAAGGAATGTAACAAAGACTGACAGGATTCTGAATATATATATATATATATATATATATTTTATTATACATATTCCCCTGCATTACCATGTCCATATTACATAATTCTGCTTGCCATATTTATGTAATATAATTACGTGTATGCTCTTTTTTCATGAACTATTTATTTGAACCTTTCAACCACACCCGCATGAGAGTGATATTACACAGTTGTATAGCATGTGTAGCAGGCTAGCAGCAATAAATGTAGTAACATTCAAGTTGTCACCGAAATTCTGGAAGCTTACGCAATGTTTCTGCAAATATCTTAGAAGCATAGCATTTGCAAATGAAGCTTACAGTCACAGCAAAAAGCAGTCATAAAATTGTTGATAAATCTATAGCTTGCAGCAATCAAGTGATAAACAATCCTTAGATAATGGAGAGGTGTTGTACATTTGAAGCTGTTTTGGTGTACATATGCATACTTTTCACACCATGGCAAAAAACAACAAGAGAAAGTCATTATACCTTGATAATAAGGCAACCAAGCAAGTTTGCAAACCCTGCAAGTACAAGATACCAAAAATCAGAATTTGTTTCAAGAAACAGCACCCAATATGTTCAAATTCAAATACAATGGCTTCATTTTCCATAAAAAGTGAGTTTAAACGAAGACATGTTAAACTAAAATTAAAGAATTTAGTGTATACAAAGTATAATATGCAAGTTCATACGTATTTACATAAGTACATATGCACTCTTTGCATACATCAACCATAATGGAAAGGAATGACTCACACCTCGACACCACCAACGCAAAATAGCACCACCAAAAGTTCAACGAACCAGAATGACATTAGTTTGTAAAGTATAACCAAGAAGCATGAAGCAATAACAACAAAAAAGACTGCTGATGTTGTGTTGATGTCGACTACACCACTAGAGCCCAAGCTTTCGCTGTTCAAAAGTTCATCTGAACCATCCTACAATAGCAACCTCAATTCATAGATTAGCAAACATTCATAACCTGTAACGAAAAACAAAAATTACTTTAGGAAAAAAACGTATTAATCAGCTGAGATTAGCAAAAGATGACCTTCAATAGCTTGTCCTGTTCACTAGCTGCTTCTCTGGCAGACCAGGCTGACCAGTAAGATGCACACAATATGGTACCAGCTGCCATCAGCCATAGAAAAACTTCGGCTATGTCAACTACTGGTCGCCGTGGAGAGTATAACTGCACCGACACTGTGGAAAGGTCTAGAACCATCAGAACTTGTAACGATAAAAGAAATAGTGAAAAATAAAAAAATGCAACAGAGGATGAGAATCAAATTGGGGAAATTGTTGGTTTTTAAGAATGGTAGAATAAAAAAAACACCAATTTAAACTTGATCAAATCAAGCAAAAAGAACGTGATGTCATTTTCTTCTTGAAATTACTTAGAACACAAAGACAACACTAATAACTAGAACTCGCTTTCTCTCTCTTGAGCACTTAAACTCTATGCAATTTTTAGAATGAGCAAAATGCAAATGACTTGGACAAACTGTATTTTGCAGAGTTCATTTCAGGCATCTAATCACATTGACAGTTTGACACTGTCTCTTTGCTCTAAAGGAATCGTTATCTCCTTCGCTCAAAATTTGCACAAACTCTGTTATTTCCAGACATTTGTACTGCTCATAACTTCAAATTGCAACTATTCGTGGATTTTGTAGCCACAATCTCATTTGACCTGTTGTACCACTAAGCATTTAGCTTGAATGGCATCTCCTCTCAAAAAAGCAGTTGAGGCTTTGAGCCTACATTGGGGTAATGGTGGGTGAGTCTGTGATGTCTGGTGTCTTACCTACCAAAGAAAAAAACAAAGAATCTCATTTGAATTGTCATTAGCATTCACACACGTCTTCTTTTTTCAGATGTGGAAAATGAACATATTTGTCCTTCCGCTCTTTCAGATATAGTCATTTGGTTGCCATTCACATACTGAATACAAGGAATAGTTATGTCCTCATTATGATGAACCCAAGATGAGTCTTCCGTGGTTAAACCATAACAGCAATGGCAGAATGGACAATTATGTCAACTTGTTCCAACAGAAATTCACTAGCTGCTAATATTTTTTCATGCAGTAAGGAGGTGAGCCGTGAAGACAAACACGACATTACTCTTGGGACCAAAATTTTATTTTCCTTTGTAATTATGCAGGATATTGACTTACCTGATGAACTATTCGTCAGCATTTTTTCCAAGCTAGCACCAGCATCTTGTGGAAGCATGACAGCGGGTATATCTATATCTAGATCAGTTTCATCAGGCTCACAAACCATCTTGTAAAGTTCTGCAGGGGAAACAAACAAGTTTGATATAGAATAAATTAATAGTGTCGCATCTCAACCATCAGCAATGTATCAAACCTTTATGGTTCCTACTGTCACAGAAACTTGTAACTGAAACACTTTTAGCCACATGATTACAAGTGAATGAATATCTGAAAACAGGTCTTCCATTTGTGTCAATGAGAAATGACATTTAACAAAACAACTCATAATAAATATGAATTTTTAGTGTAATAGCACAATCATGTCAAATATATATACAAGTACTGAACCACAACACAAAGAAAATGAAAAGCATCATCGAACAAAAGAGAGGAATAACGTCCATCAGTTGTCAGAAATTCTTGTGAAATAATAAAACACAATTAAATTATGCTTTCTCAACACCCCTCTGATTGGAATTCTGTTTCCGAATTTAATAATATGACAACCACATCACATGCTAGGAGTCAAAGTGTTAATTTCCTAACAAGCAAAATAATCCCCTATTCAAGGAATCGATACACAAAAAAGAAAAAATTACTTCTCCAGTTTCAGCAACTCTAAAAAAACTGTGGAGGAATAATATTTTAAGAAATGCATGTTTTGAGCCCACCAATCTTGAGTAGTAATTTAGCAACAAACTCTAGCCAACACTAATAGTTAACTATTCCCGTAGAATTGTCTAAAGAATCCACATTGAACTAATGTCTCATTTTGTAAAGCACAAATACTTCTGCAAAGAAGAACCATACATGTATCATATTCGTATCAACTACCGATACTCGTTGAATACTTGTAGTACTTGTCTGGAACTTTGGTCGAGTTTTTATATTGTAATTGTAGATATATCTAAAAACAGTTACATTAATCCTATTTTGCTATTCAGCATTATTTCAGATCACAACTTCAACAATCTTCCTCAAAGATGATTCATCTTTGTTGCACAAGACCGACCTAAGTTTCTCCCATTTTACCTTCAATAGTTGCTAGTTTCACCACCTCATGAATATTCATTCTAATACTGTTCTTCCTTGTATTACCTTGCATCTCTCTCAACATCTACATTTCAACCACACTCATTTCTTGAACACGTTTCTTGACCAGCCAAAATATAATAATTTATTTTATAGAATTTATCAAAGTAAAAGTATACATTTAATTACAATATTCCAGCAGCACTCCTCCACCTAATTCGCCTTAGTTAATACCATGAGCAACATTATCTCCAATTTCTGCTTCTTTGTGAATAATCAGGCCTAGGTAACCAGAATGATTGTCTTTCAGTATCTCTTGCAAGTCTTGACCCTTAATTTTTATTACATCACCATATGGGTTCCATAATTTAGCTAAGATTACATCCCCACATTTTTTTTTTTCGTAATTACAGATAACAATGTGAAGCAGCATTATACCACAAGAAATTGGTTACCGCATAGTGTCTCACATCTTCTATCATCCTCCAAATGGTGATAATTTTCCCTCGCATTTCATTTGATTCAATAATTCATAAAAGTCACTCAATTATGTGGAACATATGGCATATTGGACAGTCAAGTGGTATGTATCTGTTTCAAAAAATTCAATTTGTAGATCTATGCTGAAAGCTCACTTGTAAAATGGAGCGGGAGCACCTCCCCTCCAATTCTTTTTTTAAAATATAAAGAAAATGTGAAGCAGCAATACAATGAGAAAGTGGTTGTAGAAACAAAGCCTTCTAAATTATCAAATGAATCAAATATCAAAAACAAATATGCAATTACCTTTCTGATTATTTATAATGAGGACTGCTGAAGCACCAGCAGCTTGTGCAATATTTGTCTTGGTTGTGAATTTGCAGTTACCTCGGTCCACCATGATGATATCTCCAGCTAGCTAACAAATTCGAAATTATGAACCCATTGTCATCAATTAATTCATCATAATTCGCAATTCTCCAATCTATAAAATGTACTAACATCTGTAGCATATATGTACGGGATAGAAAACCTTTCTCTTTAGTGGACTGCAACAATCACGAGGGTCTGAAAGTGCCAAGTGAGTTTGGTTTGCATTTTTCTCCTTCGATACAATGGTAGTTCCAAATCTAGCCCCAACACCAACAAATTCAGCATCCTCTATTCCATCAATCCAAGTTTGAACTTTTACCTAACAAGACAGTGGTATATTGATACTCGAGCCAATGAAAAGCTATACAATAAAAACCTAAGAAATAAGCTGCAGAAGTAAGCAAATCCATACTTCCAACTTCGGTAGAAACCAGATAACACCATAGCAATCAATAACCAGCACACAAATTATTATTTTTTAAATTAAAATAAATAATAAATAAAAGGAGTTACTCCAAAACATCACTAAAAGTTAAAACAAAAATAGAATAACAGGGACAGGAACGCAATTATGTTGAAAAAAGTAGGCAACTTTCATCACTATCCACTATACCAACTTTAGATCGTTCTCAAATGAAATTTCCTGAAAGATCACTACAAATTCACAGTTCATCTATATATGCGTAAAAGTAGAATAAAATGTAAAGTGCAGAAAAGTAAAGGAAACGTAATTGCCAGCTAAGAAATTAAAAAGAAAAACACAAACCAATTGCAAAACTAAAAAATTCGATTAGGTTGTCCAAGATTGGGAAGGAAGGTAGTACAGGCATACAGCGTGAGGAGCTTTACAAAATATTACACTATATTTGATATACAGTTTTGAGTAAATAGGAAAACAAACGTGAAACAACCCAAACCCAACTAAAAAAAGAAAGAAAAAAAAAAAAGAAAAAAAAAAAAGAAAAAGAAAAGAGGATTAATCAACTCCTAGTACACATTAACATCAAGGAAATAAGATAAAACTCCCGTGATTATTTTTCTTTCACAGCCAAAATGCCAAAAACATAGAACCCTGAGTATGAGGGTGTGTACATGTATAGATATACACAACCGTATAACAAAACAAAGAAGACCCAGTTGGAAAATCGCAGAAAAAACAACTGGGACGAAGATGAAATGAGCATTAGATGTACCAGCACGAAATTGTTCTCGCAACCAGGCTTCTTTGGAGCCGAATCGTCGTCATGAACGATATCTCCAGCTGTCACAGTAGCAGGATAGTTGAGGATGAGTACAACCACTGCACAGATACACAAAGCGCAGCGAACTCTCTGTAATTCCATGAGGTTTCTGAAGTCTGATGCTTCTTCTTCACTGCATCCGAACCTCTGATGTTTAGAGAGAGAGAAACTTCTAGAGAGAGAAAGAGAGAACCAAAAACAGTTCCGCAAAAAGGGGTTTCTCTGTGCTCAAAACTGATTTTTAATAGATAAAGAAAAAAAAATGAAGAATGGATCTACTATGGGTTTGATTGGGGGAGGTAGTGTTGCAGAGATGAGAGATGACATTTACCGAATACAGAGTGAAGATAACATGACGTCGTTTTGAAACCGTTTCGGTTTTGGCTTTTGAAGAATGCCGAAAACGACATCGTGTCGATGGTTAGTTTTCTTGTGGTTATCAAAATTACCTTTGGACGGTTTGACTACCAAGTCAAACGAATCAAAATCCAAAGACGTCTGATTTTATTAAGTTAAGTTCTTTTACTTTTCTTGTGTATGTAAAATAATAGAATTATGAAAAAAAAAAAAAAAGTAAATGCTTGGATTGAGAAAAAGAGAGAAGGAGAGAGATTTGTGGGTGGAAGAAGTGAAAAAATAATAATAATAATAATAATAAAAATAAGAGAGAAGAAAACTCTATCGGTAGTTAACTAGCTAATGGCATTCCACTTTATTAGAAAAAGAAAGGAGGGAGGGATGTTTTTACGTTCAAAAAAGCTCCTTTTATATATAAAAAAAGGTATTTGAAAATATATATCTACATATATATATATATCCAATAACACTTTTCTTACTTTCTACTTTTTGAGATTTCTTAAAGGGGCTATACTTCTCATTTCTCCAATGGTAAGGAAAATTTTAATATGTTTATAGTTTGTTTTAGAAAAGGAAAAATGAGAAAAATAAATTCATGACAACAACAGGTTCCCCTTTATATAAAAAAAATACAGATTTATTATTTAATGGTTGACCAACAACAACTACTAATTTTTGCCCGTAATAAGATATTCTCTGCATACGTATTTGAAGATTGGGAAAATGACACTTACTGCTTTTTAAACAACTAATAATGGTACTCACTTTTTTGCTTGTGTGTGTGTAAGTATAAGCGAGCATGCATCACTTTTTTCCTACTTGTTATCAAGGAATACAGGGAGGTAAAGAAAAATATGAAGAAAAATAAAGGACAAATATTGACTTTAATTTAATTTTGTATACATACATATATGTGTGTGTGTGTGTGTGTTTATATATATAGTTTTATGTTTAATCGAACGGGGCAAAGCATAAAATAACATGAAAATCATTTTGCAATTTTTTTTTTTTTTTTCAATTTGTGTTTTTCCCCCTTTTCCATTTTTTTTTTTCCCTTTCTAAATTCGCAAACTAAAAAGACAACTTACACTGAAAAACCCCACTTGAACGAATCCCAACTATCCATAAAACATAATACTATTACTAGTTTGCAACACTGGATGCAATTTGAAAGAAAAAAATGTTGAGAATTCAATACTTTCTTAAAAAAGGTCAGGGGTTCGAATCCCAGTAAAAGCATCTGTGAGTATTAATTAAGAAAAATAATAATAATACTTTCTTAAAACTATTATGTCATTTTTTTTATAATTTGAACTACACTATTTCTTGATTTGTTCATATTTGATTTGTAAGGAATCCAACGATGGTTGGTGGTAGTGACCCGTTTGTCTCTCACGCCAAAAAACAAGTTGTGCCACGCAGGCGACAAACGAGAGCTGAAGAGGACACTACGTTGAGAGAGAGATTCATTTGTAGCCAACAAGAGCTACATGTGTACAGACTTTGTCTGATTGACGTGTACAGACTTTGTAAGAGTCTTATTCATTTGTAGTCGACAAGAGCTACTAATTAAAGTTTGTATAGAGCTAAGAACAGAGTGCAAGTGTGAAAAGAATAGTCCAACCTTTTACACAATTTAGTGCAGGGCACTGCATAAAGCAAGCTAATCAAATTCAAAACAGTTAAATCAAAAAAATTAACATTGTAAAAGATTGTGAATTAAAATAATTCATTGCAAATGAATGTTAATTAAATAATTCATTGACTACATGCTGAATCAAGATATTCACAAGATTCCATCAATTTGGTAGACTCGTGAAAGCTATTTGATCATGTTGAGGATAGAGTGGAGATCTCAAACTACAAATATTCATTTCCTCATTGAGTTAAAAAAAACATCCTTTGCAAGAAAATGGATGCCCCACCCCATTGATACATTGTTAGTAGAAGAAACAAAAGTTAACAATGATCATAAAAGACAATGAAACTTTGAAGCAAACATTAGCCATACAAACATTGGATTTAACATGAAAACAAACACAGACACACTGAAGTTTGCTGCTAACTGTTAATATCAACCAGTCCTGCAAATCCATCTCTGTATAACAGCGGAAGATCTACTTGCATGAAAAGTGGTTCTGATAGCCAGCTGAAATTTGATATATATAGATACCCAAAAATAATTGATTGAACACACCCACCTTGTACCACCTCTCTGAATGGAAAATTCATGCATAAACTGGAACTCATTTCAGAAAGTGTGAATGCAAATCACACTCAATAGACAACCAACCCTAGCTAAAACTTGGATATTGTCTTTAACATTACCTCTTAACCCAATAGTGGGTGAAAAACCCCCAACCTTTCGACTAGTAAATATTGAAACACAAGCAATCGGGGAAGCAAAATTTTGGGTTTTTTCATTGGAACAAAGACAGAACAATGAAAAGTTCCAGTAAAGGGCTTTGTAGGTGAAGGGATTGGTTAAAAGGTTTGATTCCTAACTAACATTCATCCCTGACACCAATTCAGCTATAGATGTCTTTCTTTGAGATCTTGGGTTCCAAATGCCGTAAACCTGCAATCAGTTCTTATTATTTGTGTGGCTGTGGAAGTTGTTCGGAATGAAATGCTCTGATAAAACATAGCTTCCCCCAGAGAATCTTATTGCTCCTCTATTCATCCTCGTACCCAAAATGTTATTGTCTCGAGATGAATTCTCCAGCAGGACTTGGCTTGAAAATTTAAAACCATTATGTAAATCCTTATGGAGCGGAACCGGGAATGCAGTTGCCATACTTGAAGTTTGAGTGCTGTGTTGGTTAATACATCCCATACTGTGAGAACCCAGTTGAGCAGAACTTCCAAACTGTTCCTCTTGCTGGATGCTCGAAAAGTATCCATGATGACTACTCGAATCAATCATCAAATTTGCTCCTTCTAAATTCACGTTTGTATTATTCCCAGTTGCTCCTCGCTGAATATAGTTGCATGAAGAAGAATCAAGCCTATGGTTGTCAACCTGCGCCTTAGATAGGACAGTGGGTAAAGTCAAATATGCAGAGGAAACCACCTGATCAGGAGGATTAGATGAATACTTCAGTTTTCTAACAGAAAATCTCAACCTTTCTCCTTTGTCCTTCTCATTGGATGCATTGGATCCAATGTCTTGTTCATTATTAACTTGCTCATCAAGAACTTCATAGCAATTATTCGTATCAGCAGCCCTATTGCTTTTCAAAGATCTCTTTAAGGAATCGCTATCGCAAATTTGAGTTTCCATGCCCTTTTCAATGCCGTTGTGATTCTCATGGACAACCTTCTGCGCTAGCTCCTCATGAACGTCATAGCGGTTATTAGAATCAGCAATCCCATTGCTTTTCAAAGATCTCTTTAAAGATCCAGTGTGGCGATTTTGAGTTTCCGTGCCCATTTCAATACCATTATGATGGTCTTGGGCAACCTTCGGTGCACGACAACTGCCCTTTTTCCTTGTAGGCCTTGGAGCAGTCTCAATTGTCCCCAATTTTTTCATTTCCTCTCTCATACATGTAAACATGTTCTCTCTTGCAACTTTAAGCTCCTCCAATATAGACTTCATGAAGATATTAAAATCGTCTAGTGAAACAGTAGTCTTATGGGCTATTCTCTTATTCTTCCTCTTGGTCTTATCTTTGGAAGAACTCTTCTTCTTAGTTGAGTTTCTTTTCTTACTCGACCCAATCTGCATTTTGTTAGCCTTCCCAAATTCAAAATGACCCTGGGTATTAGGCTCAAATTGATCATTCTGCTGAGATCCAGGTTCGTCACCATTCTCATCAAATTCGGGCAAAATAAAATTGGAAACAAGCTTATGCCTCTTGTAAGCAGGCTCACCGCTAGAATTAGATTTGGCATCATCACTTGAAGAATCAAACTCGTCATCTCTCCTTCGGAACTCCCACCGCTGCTGGAACTTGTGGTCCTGGTTCATTTTCAAGCTGATGGAATTACCAATTCAAGAGCTTCACCAACTTGTGTCGTACGAGAACACCAAACTACAACCAAACTGTACTTTACCGCCTGAAGAATATGAATGCAGATAACTAGACCCACTTCTCCTTAATGCTTCCAAGGTTGGCTTCAAGCAAGAAACATTTTTAGCAGAAAGATTCCCACTCCGACTGAAACTTGAACTCGTTTCGGAGATGTAATTTCAGCAAAATCCCTCCTCACATACTAAATTTTCCGTGTGACATTACAACAAAGACCATTCCAGCATCTTTATCCTCTCCCTTTGTTCTTTCAATCTTCCACAGTATTTAACAACCATAGATTGATCAGAAATTATAAAGGAAAACAGTTAATCTAATGTTATTACAAGTTTAATACAGTCTTCGTGCAAGCATTTAACATAAAGATGGACACAATTAGACATTAACAACCAAAGATTGATCAGAAATCATTAAGGAAAACAGTTAATCTAATGTCTCACAAGTTCAATCCAGTCTTCATGCAAACAATTAACATAAAGATGAACACAATCAGACTCTAAAACCGATTACAGCAAGAACAGAATTAATTTTCAATATAATCCACCACAAGCTTGAAAAACCCAGAATCAGAATTAAACAAATTTATTTTCTGTGACCTAATCGATACTATCAAAGCAAGTATTGTATAAAACAAATAGCAAAACAAAGAAATTGATAGCAACAAGCAAGAAAGAAACCCTGATGCAAAATCAAGAGAAAAAACTAGCCCAATTAAAATTAAAATAATGCCATTACAACTCTAGAAAAACAATATTGAACATGCCCACAATGCCAATCGCCAAACCAATTATCCATATCATGAATCTTAAATTTTTAAAAAAGAAAGGCATAAACTTGTAAAACAAATCAATAATATAAATATGAAAAATACTTATCAAAAAAAAAATATATATATATATATATATGAAAAATACAGTACATGACAAGCAAAAAGAGATATATAATGTCAAATCCTACAAAGCCCAGAAACTGAATCACAAAATCAGCAAAGTAGGGACAGAGAAAAAATAATAGAAGAAAATAATCTAACCAAAATTCCTTCTGATAGATATGTTCTTACCGTATAACAGTTGATGGGATGTGATTCAACAAGAGTCAAGAGATTCCTCTCCTCATCCCCTACTCTCTCTCCTCTCTCTCTTTGAAGAACAACCTTTCACTGTGCATTTATTCCTCCACTTTCTATCTCTAAGAGGAAGAAAAAGATACGATTTTTATGTTTGTGTGTAGTTTCTATTTTTGCAGTGTTTTTTTCTGTATGTGGTGTGGGTAGTGAGTGAGTGGGGTGGGGTGGTGAGGTGTGGTGTTGGCAGAGAGCCAGTTGAGAGAGTCATGGTGTAATGACCCTCTTTTCAATGAGGTGGTCTGGTAAGATATCTGATAGCATATTTAATGGTTTTATATACTATTTATTTATTTATTTTTGTGATTTTTTTACTCACAATCTCAGAAATCCCACTTTATGGTGTTATCCACCAAACCCACCTTTTTCAGGCAGGGATAGGAAATAATAGATTGTCCTGCCAAAAATCTCTCCTTTTGCCTTTTCTTTGTTGACATTCCATTTCTTCCTTCTATTTAAATTTCTCTTTTTAAAGTCTGGACTAGCTGGAATATGATTAGTGCTACAAATGATCCAAGTTCTTATTCGGCTTGGCTCGTCTCGTCTGAGATTTGGTCAAATTTGTAGTAGAAAACGAGTTGATTCGAACTTGATTCTAAACTCCTTTACAAAATAAGCTCATTTTTTAAAATATTAGGTCTGACTCGTCATCTAAACTTATAATCATGAACTCGTATAAAACACATTTATAAATATAAATTTATAAAAGTGCATGAAAATAGGCTTGTCTAAGCTTATATAAATTGTTAAATAAGTCAAAACGATCTTGAATATCAATTCAACCCGAGTCGAAATAATTTTGTTGTTAATCAAGTCGAGCCCAAACTTTTCAAAATAATAATGAGCTGAGTCTGAACTAAGCTTTTCAAGCTCGTCACGATCTCTAATTAAACTTATAAACAATCGAATTAAGTCCGAATAGATTCAAACTCGGCTCAGCTAGATTCGTTTGCAGCTCGAGTGATGCAACATTAATTTTTACCATATTCATCACAAAATTTATTACCAGTCTTTTTCACTTCTATCATGCCATATAAGTTTTGTAGATAGAAAGTTATTTAGAAATTAGGGTCTCCACGAGTTTTATACGCATTTACAAAATAACGTCCTCCATCAATGTATTTCAGTTTTAGACTATGCTACTTTTAAAATTCAACTGTATAAATTAAATGGTCGAATACCGTAAGATTATCAGGAGAAAATTTGCCAGGACACTAATTCTATGAGCCTCCTTTGAGTCCACATGCCTATTGTAATAAATTGAGACGAAATGGGGCTATTAACACATTTTGTAACGTGTGTCATGAAAATATTTTGTGCTGAGTGCCATTTTCCTTTTCTCACATTGCTTATTTTGTTGTTTTGGTAACAAAATACAAGGGCAGAATAATATGGTGTGGATTGTGTATTAAAACACATAAAAAATACATCTTCTTGATTGCAATTTTGGCAACAATTTAGTAATTTATTAGAAATCCATTCATACATTTTTTTCATAATTAGTCTACGAATTTTTTAGTTTATTGCCAATATACAATGAATGGACGCCTCGATTTTTTTTTTTTTTTTTTTAAAAAACAACAACAACAGCAGCAAACCATAAAATAAAATAAATAAGGAAATTAAGGATCTATTTAGTTTGTAACTCTGAAAAAAGCTTTTAACAATTTAGAAAACAAAAAATTGTTCTAGAGAAAAATCTTTCAATTCTCTGAAATAGACCGGCTTGTTTGGTTTGTAACTCAGAAAACAGTTATCAATAATTCAAAAAATAGAAAATTATTCTCAGAAAACAATCTTTTATAGTTCTCTGAAAGCAAACATTTTTATAACTGAATTTTCAGAAAACTGAACCAAACAGAAATTTTTTGTATAGGTTTTTATTTTCAATTTTCCGAGAACAAAAAATCTGTTTCCATAATTACAAATCAAGCAAGCTCGGCATTTTTATAATTGAGTTTTTTAAAAACTGAACCAAGAAGAATTTTTTGTACAATTTTTTATTCTCCAAAAATTGAAAACAAAAATTATTTTCATAATTACAAACTACACATGTGGCGACCTTGTGGGCGGGTGTGTGTGAGCGTGTGCAGGGGGCACCAGTAGGCTACCACACTGGGCGAGTTACAGGTGCACAATCCCACAACGTCTGGGTGTGGATGGGGCAAGTGTTATATGTACATTCAATACCCTTCTATGACACAACGCGTTTTAAAGCCGTGATGGCCGTGAATCCATCAGAACTCTGTAATTAAGCGTGCTTAACTTGGAGTAGTACCAGAATGGGTGACCCCCGGGGAAGTCTCTTTTTTGGTCTGGGTGAGCCAAAAGCAGACAATATTGTGTCTGGCCAGGGTGAGGGTCGTTACAACACAGACCATAATTTTTTTTTTTTAGTGACCGAATACTAAAAAGATAATATTGTGTCTTGCCAGGGTGAGGGTCGTTACAACACAGACCATAATTTTTTTTTTAGTGACCGAATACTTAAAAAAAACAATAATAATATCTCAGAAACAATTGCGCCAATAATTCAATCCAAGTGTGGTGTAGGATAATCATAACTAGAAACTTCCAAGTAGACATTCCATGGTGTATATTATTTGCCGATAATACAATGCCAGTGGATACCTCTAAAGAAAAAGCAACAAAATTAGAACGTGGAGGAAATCGTTAGAATCAAAAGGATTGAAAATTAGTAAAACTAAAATTGAAATATGGAATGTAAATTTAATAAATAATAAATAAATAAATAAGAATTAAATATTGATAATATAATGAAAAAGCTTCAAATGGCCAACCCTTTGGGATTAAGGTAAAAAAATGATTTTTTTTTTTTATTTTTTTATAAGTGAGATTAAGGTAAGAATGATGATGATAATAATAATGTGGTATAGTATAACCCTGCATATAAAAACCATTGGTGATGTTAAACCAATCATAATTTAGACATGATATTCAAGGTGGAGTAAATTTGAAACTACAAAAGCCTTCCATCAATGTTAAACCATACAGTTAACTATGCAAAAACGTTCCTTGTGTCTGTTTCTCTTGCCCATAATGTTGAAAGTAAAAACATACCATGTCACACAAAAGAATGCCCAGCAAAACAGATTATAACTGAAAATAAATTTGAGTCTCCTTCTCTTTTCCTCTTCTCATGACCCGATTATTTGATCTTTACCTGGGAATTTAATTTCGTGAACCATCTTCGATTGACCTTTTGCTTGAGGAAGTGATTTCGATCGTAATAGTTGACAGCACAAACTGACCATGGGGTGAGAGAGACCAAATTTAACACTATACCTTCTATATATAAGGTTAATGAAGCAACTCAAATTTCAGACTATAAGATCATGGATAATATTTGTAATCCAGAGCATGATATTGAGTAAATAAGATTAAATTATATCACCTAGAAGTATCAGGCTTATTCTCTTTATTAAATAAAACATACAAATGTTCAAACATATACTATGAAATGAAATCTAATACACTAATAACTATCAGCCCAATAGTCATTTTTTTTTTCTAGGGTGGTGAGGTCAAACACTTGTTTTCAGTTCATCAAGATGATTGTTTGAGACAGAGAACATGCAGTACCACGGTTTTTGAAACTCCAGGAAGTTTGGAAAAGCAAGCATGCATAAAAATGTTAATGCTGGTGCATGTAAGCAATTTAAAAGTTCCCCAATTTAATTTGGATCAAGAATCTCAATGCGATGCAATTCTGTGGTGATCATAACAGTGCCTTCTTCAAAAAGATCAACTCGATGCAATCCTTTGATCTTAACACTGCCTTCTTCAAAAATATTAATCTATTGACACAAAAGTGAGAGAACTGGACACAAGTAACATTATCAATAAGATGAATCATGTAATGGTTCCAAATTTGCACTTGACAGAACCATTTTACACAACAATAAAAAGTTACAGATTTAATTTTTCACAAAATTGTACCTTCAGTTTTAGTTTGGGCCAAATTTATTCACAGTTACCTGGAACTACACTAGTGTTGTATGGCAGAAACGTCCAGCAACCTGCAGGGAAAAAAAAAAAAAAAAAAAAAAAAATTGTAAGAAACTTGTGACTTCCGCAAATGATGCATACACTTGGGGAAAAGAGGGAAGTAATATTAAAAAGAAAAAGATTATACCTGAACCATCTGCGCTAGCCAATGGTCACTCTATCACGCAAGAATACTCCTGCAATTGCCTCCAAATATAAGTTACTTTATTGCATTCATCAGAACATAAAACACAATATGCTTCTTTGATTTCAGCTTTTCTGGAGAAATAAAAAGGGGCCTGCTCCTCATCCAAGTACAAATTGACAAAGTGCTCCTGTGAGAGCTCACTACTTTAGGCTAGACTTGAGATCTTATATGCCTTTTGGCACTATATTAATGACTCTCCGGTAACCTGCAGCAGCATAAACAAGAGAAGGCACAATTATCTGAGCATGTCGGTATTAACTCTTCTTTTTGACACAACATCAGCGACTCTCTATTAACCAACAGCAAATGGAAAAAAAAGTAATTTAAGTAAATTTGGTTCAGTAGATATTCTACTATCAGAACAAAATGTTAGGTGAGTCAAATAATATGGCTATCACTCCCACACAGTAAAATATCCTAATCCAATGATGTAGTTTCCTCCAATTTCATGCCTATAGAAATGCATTTTGGAAATTCCCTGCTAATGAAATTAAAGGAGTACATGTCAGGCTGATATATTGCACATGAAATTTTGCTCACACGGAAGATAGAAACTATCACTGGAATCGTCAGCCTACCATGTGCCTTTAAGATAGACCTTAGGAAAAGCATATGATACAGAAGTAGCAGTGTACTTACAAGCATTGGAACAGTGAAAATTTCCTTCTCATATGGTCAATTGGATCAAGATGAGTGTTATTAGCCCTAAATTTCATTGGTGGTAATGCTGAATTACATTGGTATTTTCAGGGTACATGGGGACTCTGTTGAGGTGATCCAATTTCACCTCATCTTTCTGTAATGATTACTATTTTCATTGGTTTATATGCAGTCCAGCTAAACAGGAAGAAAAGGCGCTTAATCAATTTGGTCCTGCCTATGCAGGGTGCTGAAAGAGAAGACTTTAAACAGACCCATTGATGTTATTTTGCGACAAAGTGGATACTTGATAGCTCGGAATGTGTTCTTAGTTTCCTACACTTTGCAAGCCAAGCTTTTACCATTGCACCAAGAAATGGCCACCATCAACTTAAAGGGGATAATTCTAAAATTCATTCGCAATGTGCAGCTTCTAATATAAGCCATCCTTGCTTTACTGATGACCTTTTTGTCCTTTGTAATGGTGATTCTCACTATGCAGTTATATAGCTGCTGTATTGCAGAAACAATGCAGGTTTGAGACATTACAGTGATAAAAGTCAGCCTGGAACTGACGAGGCTGCCAAATCTCAAGTCTTTAATATTTTTGGAGTTAGAGAAAGAATTTCCTATCTGGTGCTTCAAAATTCCCTTGGTTATGACCAAACTTACGGGAGCATATCAGTGCAAATTGATCGTATTATAGCTAAAATTCAGTCATAGACTAGTTAGACTTTTTTTTTTTTTTTTTGATAAGTCATAGACTAGTTAGACTTTTACGTTAACAGGATGTTCACAACCCACAAAGCAATGCTATTTGGTATCCAGACCTACTGAAGCAATGTGTTTATCTCACCCAAAAAGTAACAGCACGTGTAGAGAGTATCATTCAAGCTTTTCTATGGTAAAGAATTGAACGTAAGAGGTCTTAGTCTAAGGTCGCTTGGGATGTTGTTTGTAATCTATATGGTTGGATTGGATCTACAAATATTGGATCAGAAACTTTAGTTTTTTATATATATTCGTTCAAGATAGTTGTGCATGGTCATGGTGGAAGATATTGAAGCTTCGAGATAAAACGCATACCCTTACTAAGCATCAGATTGAAAATGGCCATCCTACTATCCTATTTAACAACTAACACTCATTAGGACCTTAGTTTGAATGTTGCGGTGATTGTATTAAGAAATTTCTCAATAACAAGTTGCATATTGTTGAAGGCTCAGCTTTCCTGTTCAACTAAATCTATTCTCTGGAATCTTTTATAGTTTGAGACACGATTCATTACTTGCTAAAGGAATTACATCACTTCACTTGGCTCTCGTGTCTTCTGTAGAAGGCAAGTCAAGTCTCACTTCCAACTATTTTTTAATTGTGAATTCACTAAAGATTTATGTAACTGAATAATGACCACTGTAATCTGATCAAGATCCCAGATCTCGGGATCAAATGATGCAATGGGCAAGTATTAACTCCAGAAGTAAATCCCATACCAAGATGGTTTATGGGGTTCTTTTTGTTGCATTGGTTCATACCATATATGGTGCAAAAGGAACAAGGACAGTTTACTACAAGATATTAGGGACGTGAAAGAGACTCTGCTGGCACTGCACTAATAGTTATATAGATTTTTATGATGCAATGGAAATAATTTCAATGATTGCAAGGAGAACCGAATCTCTCCTATCAAGTTGGTTAGTCATGTGAAACTGACATTTTCTATATCAGTTATTTATATTCATTTGCATAGAGGAATACACTGCCTCGGAATTCCCATTCTGTAAGGGCAATCTCTTTTCATACTATCTTTTTATCATTAATCCATTAATTTCTCTTACCTATCAGTACCCAAAAAATAATGGATGTACAAACATGTAGCATCCTACAAGTTTATACTAGGCAACACTGCTCTTGTTGGAAGGTCCATTCACAAGCTGTAAAGACACCTTAAAATCATTTTATCAGATAAGGAACAGGAATCATATGCTACTGAAACTACCTTGACATGTGTTGCAACTTGCAACGATTATGAAAATATACTTGAGAGTGATGTTCATAGAACCGCAATGGCTAATAAGATTGCCGCAAAGACATATTTTAGTTTTTCAATTACTGAGGACTCACAATCCTGCACGTTTACTTCATCCATTCTATTCAAGTGCATCAGTCAGAAATATAGAAAATACTGGTAACAGAGTTCCAAAAAGGAAAAAGAGGTTCTCTTCAAGATTTCAACAATCATGACAAAAGGATAAATTGGTAAGCAGTAGCTGCAAATAAACTTACCGCCATGGGAATTCACTCGTGTCTATCCCAGCTTGGTGAAGCTCATCAACGTACTGCAATGCTTCCCTGCACTCCTCCCGGTCATCGAAGAACTCCTCCTTGTCACCTTCTATCTGGTATGTTTCATGGCCTTTGCCAGCAACAACCTGCAGCGCATAAACAGTGAAAACGAACACAAATTATGGAGGTTTTCTTTAAGAGAGAATGGACGGAAAAAATAATGTTTACACATATCCATCAGACATGGAGAGGGGAAGGAACTGAAGCCCTTCCACTTAGTTAATGTCCCAAACTCTTTAGGCTCATCAAAAGACGGATGAAGACTTCATGAAATAATCTTAATTTTTTTTTTTTTATATATATTAATATTTCAGTGATTTAGGTCATTTATCCATTTTAGATGGCTTGTAATAGAGAAGAATGGAAAAAGAGAATTCACGTGGCCAACCCCATTCATATGTAATTAAGGTAAGGATGGTGATGATGATCCATTTTAGATGATATATATATATACATATATGTATACATATATATTCACGTGGCCAACCCCATTCATATGTAATTAAGGTAAGGATGGTGATGATGATCCATTTTAGATGATATATATATACATATATGTATATGTATATTTAAATGCTGTAAAAAAAGTTGAAGCAAATTTACTTTTTTCCGGCAATCTCCAACCTGCCCAATTAGATTTTTATTGTGACTTGATTCCATATCCTTTTGTAATGTTTGTTCATTAACCATGAATAGAGAAGAAAAGCAGGATGGGGCTTCAAAAACTTACAACCATATCACCTTCCTCACCCATGGCAACAGCAGCACGCACAGCTACCCGTCTAATGTCATGCAGGAAAAGCCTATGACCATTAGGAAGTGGTGGGTAGTAATCATTTTCCCCATGTTTCAAGTAATCCTGCATAGTCCATCCTATGCCAGCCAACATGTCATCCAAGATGTCCACTGGTGAACATGAAATCAACCAGATATTAGTATAAGGCTTCCATGCATCTGACCCCACAGCTAAGCATTGTCTTATAATTTAGATTTTCCATAAACACAGGAGAGAGAAAGAGAGAGATTGAACAATCAGTTCAAAAAAATAACACTCCCTCTATCCCAAAATAAGTGTCCCTCTTTGCTTTTGGGTTGTATGACATTAAGTGTTCCTTTTGAAATATTGATGTAAAAATCTAAACATTCTTAAAAATATCACCAATTTTGAAAATTTTCTATTAGGTCAATAGGACTTGGGTTGGCAAATTTCATAGATCAAAACTAAGGTCTGTACTTTTTAATTTGATTTCAAGTTTAGTTACAAATTCGAACTTCGTTAGTGTCATGGTAGTTACCTCTAGCTCATGGTCAAAGATGGAAGTCGAGCTACATATGCATGCAAAGTGTTTTGGAAACTACCTAATCTAAATATTTCTAAATATAATGCTACAGAGAAGTTCGATCAATCAAGCTATCAATTGAAACTCTCTGGAGTTGTGTCAATCAATCGATAATTTGATAGCTTTTTGATCGATCAAGCTGTTCAGAAATTCAGTTTTCTTTTCAATTTAAAACACTGAAAACCCTATTCTCTCTACGGTCTACACCACCACTTTGACTATAAATACACCACTCTTAGACAGATTACACACAACTAGAATACACAGAGACTTCTAGAGAGAGAATATTTTTTCGTGAGAGTAAATATTTTTCTTTTAACATTAATCACCTGCATTAGTTGGCTAGTGTTATTCAAATGTGTTGACATCAATCATTGCAGAGCTATAACAAGCTAGTTCAACAACGAGATCAATCTATTCATCGGAAATTGTTCTGGATGACTAGCATTTGAGACAGAATTACTAGCTGGAGAAGCAGATTCATGGAGCAAAGTCTGTTGATGAGTAGATCGTGTGCCTGCAGGCTCGTGGAGAGTTTGGTGGCTTAATCAATGTCAAGAGATAACTAAAGATTTTCTAGGGTTTGGGAAATTGGTAACCTAGTTTATAGATCTCTTTCTCATAGTGGATTCAGTTTGCCTCGACTAAGTCCCGTGATTTTTGCCAATTAAGCTACAACCTGTTTCATTCTAGGATAAGCAACAAGAAATTCATCCAAGATAGCCAGTTTAGGCAAATTAACTGGATGCCAAGTATTTATTGGTGCCACAACCACTTTTCATATTTCTCAATCATGTTGATGGTTTTCAATATGGAAAATTCAGACTTTGTCATGCATCTTGAGAAAAGATGATCAACCATGGATAACCATGATGTGAACTAGGTAAGGTTCAACAATGAAGGTGGCATATTTCCTTTTTATGCTGTATAGTTCATACTACATACATGGATCTTCATTCTTTGGATTGTCTGATGTCAGAAGAGTCACGTCGCTTTTATCCGTTGCAATCTTTGCCATCATGGGTCTCTTCCCTCTATCACTCTCACCAGCACAACCAAACACTGCAAGTAGAAGCATGATAATTCGGTCAGACAAGGAAACCAGTTATGTTGTTTATCAACCTTAGCAATAACTACAGCAGTAAAATTTTAGTTACAGTATATTTTGTTTATATATATATGTATAAACTCTCACCTTTGCAAGGCAATATACCCGTTCTTGCTTTCTTTTCTTGCTTCATTGCCAAAAAGGTAAGCACAACAGGCATTCACATACCAGTAGATTCAGTGCAGTTATTAAAAATTTATTTAACCAAAGGTCAATATTTATTTTTAGTGCAAGCAAACAAATTCCTCGAGGGGGGGTGTGTGAGTATCAACTAGGAAAAAAAAAAGATTCTTAATATATCACTGTCTCAACACTTCTAATATCTTTAGTTAATAATAATATGTGGCACTTGAAGAAATTATAGATTTCTATTGAACCATCAAAATTTCAACCCTGACCAAGATTGTTCTATAAATGCTAAGTTGTTGCACAGATTTAGTCATCACAAAGAAACCAGAAGATGGTCTCCACCAACAAATGCAGCAAATTAAGAAAGTGGATATTTAAAACTGCAAGTTAGACTCAACCTAGACATCATCACTTTCTATCATCTACTACAAATTTCCATAAATAGGAAGTTAAATATAGCACAAACCTCTAATCCAAACAATAAGATATGGTATCAGCAGATGATGTTATCTCCAAAGCAGACCACATAAACATAAAAAGAATAGAAAGTAAGTGAGAAGCAAACCAGTGATAATCCTCCTTGGTCCAAGCTCTCTTACAGAATCAAGTAGTCTGGACAAGGCATCAGGAGTGTGAGCATAGTCCACAATCACCCCAAATGCCTGTTCCTCGTCTATCAACTCACATCTCCCAGGAACTGTATCAACCTCTTCTATCCCTCTAACAATGTCTTCCAATGGTGCCCCAACTGCAATTCCAACTGCAACAGCTGCAAGAATATTGTAGATATTATGCCTCCCAAGCAACCCTGATGAGATCTCCAATATACCCTGGGGTGTATTGACTAAAACCTGGGTCTCAAAAAGAGAGAGTTCAAAATTCAATTGATGAACATCAGCGTTCTTATTCTCCATCCCAAAGGTCACAACAGGCACATCTGGGTTTCCTTGTGCGATAAAGAAAGCTGCATTTGGATCATCAATGTTGACAATTTTTCGATGCCGTTCTGGGTCCACCATTCTTGAAAATAACTTGGCCTTGGCATCTCTATAATCCTCTTCAGATACATGAAAATCCAGATGATCCCTTGTCAAGTTTGTGAAAACAGCAATATCAAAATCAACCTCATTGCACCTCCCTAGAGCTAGTCCATGAGAAGAGGCCTCCATCACAACCGCCTCAGTCCCATTATGTACCATCTTTGCCATTAGCTTCTGAACCAAAACAGCATCAGGGGTCGTATTTGGTGACTCAAGCTTGTTATCGCCGTGAACATAGTATGCCACGGTGCTCAACATCCCAGTCCTCAATCCCATTGCTTCATACATGCTTTTTATCAAATACGAGGTAGTTGTCTTCCCATTCGTCCCAGTAATCCCAATCACTGACATGTTCCTAGTTGGGTATCGATAAAAGGATGCTGCCAATGCCGGAAGCACCGAGTTAGTGTCTTCCACTATGACCAATGCCTTACACCCTAAAGTCTCTTCTATGTCTATCTCCTTACTGGCCACTACTGCAACGGCCCCTCTCTTGTCAGCCTCAGTTAAATACAAATGCCCATCAGTTCTCCTTCCAACACAACAAATGAACAAATCCCCCAACTCAACCACCCTGGAATCATGTTTTATTCCCGTGATTTCAATCTCTAAATTCCCATAAACAGACACAGGTACTACCTTACTCTCATCTAAAAGCTCAGCTAGGGTCATTTTAAATTTGGGTTCAACAATTCTAGCCTTAGTTTTACCAAAACTATCAAAATCAATATCAAACGACGATAAATTTGATAATTCACGATTACCCAAATCATCACTCACCTCATCATCAAACTTTTCTGATTCTTCTTCATCGGAATCCTCCGAAATCACCGTAAGCCCCTGAAGCTCCTTAATTTCCTCCAAATCAACAACTTCTTCAGGCTCCAGTTCTTCGACTACTTCCGGCGAAACCACCTTCTCTTTCTTCTTCGGATTCGGCTTCAACAGCCCCTGTTTCACGAACTCCTTTCGCTTCAGCGCAATGGCCTTATCGATTTCTCCGAACAAATCGTCCCCAGAATCTTCCGAATAAGTGGAATCGGCATTGTCGGGTGCGTCTTCGACATCGGCAATTGCGTTGGCGAAGATCGATTGGTCCTTCTTGAACTCCTCTTCTTGGAGTTTTCGGGCACGAGATGCTTGGCGGTGAATTTGCTGGAATTTGGAGACTCCGTGCATAGAGTCTTCGGCGGCTTCAGGTGGGTCGTCATCGTTTGGGTTTGGATAGAACTTGCCGTCCGGACCGATGGCGAAAGGGGTTGGAATAGTTCGACGGAGGAGAGAGAGAAATGGGAGGGGCCTGAATTGGGGAAATTGGGGTTTTAGAGAGAGAGAGGGGGTAGAAAGAGAAAGTGGGGATGGGGATAAGAAAGGGAGGGAGAGGGAGCTGAGTGCCATTGTAAAGACACAGAAAAAGAGCGAGGAGGGTGCGCTTTTGGAGGGTTTAGCGTCTGAGGTGAATGGGGGATAGGGGGTTTGAACAGAGAAAGAGTTTAACATCATAAACGATGTCGTTTTAAATATTTAAATAACGCTTTATTTTTAAGGGCTCTTTTGATAAGATAAGAAAAACTGATAACTGCAAAAAATAAGTGAGTTAAAAGTAAAATAAAATTTTCAATATGCATTTGATTAATATAATTAATTTTTTTTAAAAAAATATCATCTTATAATTTAGAAGGTACAAAACTTATAAGAAAATAAATGATATTATTGTAAATTCATACAACTTTATCAAAAAATTCTCTCTCTCTATATAGATATTATGTGTTTTCAGTGAAAAAAAAACAAATTAGGAAGTTACAAAAAAATTAATTTAAACTTTGAATTAATTTTTCTTTTAAATTTCAATACACCATTGCCATGCTACCCCGATTGTCATGCTGACTTTAGTGTACTTACTGTTCCAGGCAAATTAAACAACAATGGAAAATGATAAGAAATGGTAACACAGGGTAGAATAGAGTTGGTCATGCAGAAACCTTGTCTCGTGAACCATTGCTAATTTTTAAACCTCATTTTTGGGCTTTTGCTAGACATAGTTCCAAAGGTATCTGGTACCATGGTCCATGGGAGTGGAATGAAAACATTGTAATGGAAAAGTTGAATATCCTAAAGTTGGAAAGGTCATTGTCACTTTAATTTTTGCATTTGCAAGTTGGAATTTTTTTTTACAATTTTTTTATTTTTTTTTTGGCCAAAACCAAAAAAAAAAAAGAGTTGGAATCCTTTTTTGTTTTTCCGGAAAACAAAACAATTTTGTCTTAATATAATAGTGGCAACATATTGACTTACCGTTTTAGCTCCAAAACTATGGTTTATCGCTTTAATCATAAAAATTTTTTGAACTGGAATTTGAAAAGGAAAGTATTAAAATTGAAATAATATCATGATTATAACAAAGTGAAATTAAAAATAATAGCTATATTATTTTACATTTAACAAGTCTATCAGACAGGCAATAAAAATTTAACCAAAAATTTGTGTAATAAAATTTTGAAAATGAGAAATTATTGGAATCGACGACTTTCTCGGCAAACAAACACTCGGATTCCTTTTATAGCGGATACTTATAGCGCCTTCGTGTCTCCGCTGCATCACTGCCAAAACCTTGCCTCTCTCCAACTCCTAAACCCTTCTGCCAAAACCCTGAAATAACCCTAACCATGGAAGCTCAGGCGGTGAAATCAAACCTAGTTCTCATATTGGACTACGGTTCACAGTACACCCACCTCATCACTCGCCGAATTCGGAGCCTCTCGGTTTTCTCTCTCTGCATTTCCGGCACGTCCTCGCTAAAATCCATCGTGGAGCTGCACCCACGTGTCATCATCCTCTCCGGTGGCCCTCACTCGGTCCACGCGCCTAACGCGCCGGTCTTCCCCGATGGGTTCATCGAATACGTTGTGTCCCATGGTGTGTTTGTGCTGGGCATTTGCTACGGGTTGCAGCTGATTGTGGAGAGGCTCGGTGGGGAAGTTAGGGTCGGGGAGAAGCAGGAGTATGGGAGTATGGAGATTGAGGTTGAGAAGGCTTGTGGGTTGTTTGGGTCGAAAAATGTTGGCGATAGACAGGTTGTGTGGATGAGTCACGGCGATGAGGTGGTGAAATTGCCATACGGGTTTGAAGTCCTGGCGCGGAGCCAGCAGGGGGCGGTGGCAGCGTTGGAAAATCCATCCAAGCGGTTTTACGGGCTTCAGTATCACCCCGAGGTAATTGGGTTTGATTTGTTTTGATTTTTGATTCCTAGTGAATTGATTGCTGCTAAAGTTGGGTTCTTTGAATTGTATTATGAGTTAAATAGTGCATTACATAGAAAAATGGACTGTTCAGTATTAGGTTGAACTAAAAATCCTTTAATGATTTATGTTGCAAGGACTTTAATGTATATTTCATTTCAAAATGATAAAAATTTGTCACAAATACCATCATATAATACAGAGTTGAAACCTCCAGCGACATGGAAACATCATCTTTCATCAAAATGCATTAGGCAAGATACCCTCTCCACTAGTATAGACATAGTCTAGACTATCAACTTCTTTCCCTAGAAGGAAACTTACAATTTTGAAAGCAAAATTTTTTTTTTTTTTTTTTCCAAAATATTTGTTGAAAACGAGAGTAAGAAATGATGATTGTTTCAATTAGGGTGGGATTTTCAATTTTGCGTCCTTACTATATGGAAAGGGCACAAGAAGAACCAATATTTTTTTCAATCAGTGAATGGCCTTAAATTCTTTTACAACACAATGACTTTTCTGAAAGTGGTCATTGCGTTTTTGAATTCAAAAAAATATGGATGACAGTGGCACTGAGTGTATGTTATTTCTCTAAGTATGTTCTTTCTGTAAATGCTTTTTTAGTTTTAGAAACAATTTGTCCATTTCTCCATCATATAATTTCTTGCAAGGGAAAATTGGAGTAATGTAACCCTCCTTTATATTTGTGGACTAGATTATTCGATTTTTATATTTTTTACTTTTGTATTTATGGTGCCAGATTGTTATATTCATGCAAAATGAATGTATTTTAGAGAATCGTTTCTCACCCAAATTGGTAGTGTGGTTGTTTGTTGAAATATTTCAAATTTGTATTGCATTTCTACTTTGATCCTTTACACGAGTTTTGAATATTGTCCAGGTTACACATTCCCCAGAGGGGATGGAAATGCTGCGGTATTTCCTATTTGATGTTTGTGGAGTTACTGCAGACTGGAAGATGGAAGACGTAATGGATGAAGAAATAAGAGTTATCAAAGGTATGTTGGGGCCTGAAGATCATGTGATTTGTGCATTATCTGGGGGTGTGGATTCTACAGTTGCAGCCACTCTTGTTCATAAAGCGATTGGAGACAGGCTTCATTGTGTTTTTGTTGATAATGGTTTATTGAGGTACGAGTGGAGCCTCTTTCTTTTTGCCAGACCTATATCACTTGATTAGAATGATGCTTTATCAAATATTCATGCATGTCTAAGACTTCCATGATATAAATTATGTCATTTGAGTTCTCATTGTAGTCTTTCCTTCATTTAGGTACAAGGAAAGAGAGCGTGTGATGGAAACCTTTGAAAGGGATCTTCATTTACCTGTTACTTGTGTTGATGCAACAGAGCAATTTCTTAGCAAGTTGAGAGGTGTGGAAGATGCTGAGATGAAGAGGAAAATAATTGGAAAGGAATTTATTTGCATCTTTGAGGCTTTTGCTCAAGATCTGGAGCATAAAGTAGGAAAGAGACCTGTTTACTTGGTCCAAGGAACCTTATATCCAGATGTGATTGAATCTTGTCCACCACCTGGAAGTGGAAGATCCCACTCCCACACTATTAAGAGCCATCACAATGTTGGAGGACTTCCCAAGGACATGAAATTGAAGCTCATTGAACCACTCAAACTTTTATTTAAGGATGAGGTTTTTTATTATATTTCATGGCAATTTTGGATGTATTTCTGTATTTTGCTTATTTGATATGACACAATGCGGTTTGTTTTAATTGCTTTTGTTTAACTTTTTCCCCCCCTTTTCTGGAAGGTTCGTGAATTAGGTAGGATCTTGGATGTTCCTGAGGCGTTTTTGAAGCGCCATCCATTTCCTGGGCCTGGCCTTGCAGTACGTATTTTGGGTGATGTCACTCAAGGAAATGCCTTGGATACCATTCGCCAGGTAAATGGAGTGTTCATGCACGGAATATAAAATTTCGCTATCTTGGTTCAATCTATTGTCTTTTTTCCTAACAAGTGTTGTTGTTGTTTTTTTTTTCTTTCAGGTGGATGAGATTTTCATTCAGTCAATCAAAGATGCTGGACTTTATGATTCTATATGGCAAGCTTTGGCAGTGTTTTTGCCTGTTAAATCAGTTGGGGTTCAAGGAGATCAGAGAACACATTCTAATGTTGTTGCACTTAGAGCTGTTACAAGTCAAGATGGAATGACTGCAGACTGGTAAGAATGTGCTGCTTTTTCCTTTATATATATATATATATATATATATATATATATATATATTAATGCTATTCAATTTTGGTTTTGCTATGACCATTGTATATGTGTGTAAAGATTTTGTGCCACCTTCATTCCTCTGTAAACCATGATTTGAAATTCAGAAATTCTTTTGTTGCTTTTTCTTTTTTCTTCTTATTTATTGAAAGTATGTAGTAGTTCGCTTGGTCCTTTTTTTGGTGTGATTAACGTGTTGCTAGAAGGTTGAAGTAGTTCCTTCTTCCTTTTTATTATTCTGTTGTCCTCCTTTATATTTAATTTATATTTTCAAGGGAATGGGCATGTTGTTTTATTATGGAAGAATGCTGGTTTTCTGTGAACACATGGATAGATGCCTAATGAGATAAAAAATTCCATTGAGGCATGTACTGATGAATGATGAGCGACAAACTGTTGATGTAAAATGAAGGTTACTGTTACAAAAATTGGCTTGTCGACAATTATCCATCATTTTTTTCCCTTGCTTCCACTCTTGGTTATAAGGAGATGCTGTTAAAATGATTGATTGACTATTAAAGTGCTCCATAATTTAGTATGAATTTACTGTAGTGGCTCTTTCTATTAGGTACGTACTGCCGTCATATTTAACCTTTTGATTTGACTTTGGAAATTGCAAACCTCCAGGTATTATTTTGATCACAAGTTCCTCGTTGATGTGGTTAGAAAGATTTGCAATAGTGTTCGAGGTGTAAACCGAGTTGTTCAAGACATTACATCAAAGCCTCCATCAACAATTGAGTGGGAATGATACCATGTTAATGCCTCTGGCTTAGTGGAAAATGAGTAAGGATTTCTATGGCTTTATATGGTCAATTTCATCTTCCCACTTCAAAGTGAAATGAATGCTAGGAATTTACAATGTATTGCAGTCTGTTCTCGTAGCAACCGATTTTACGTACTTCTTACTTAATGATTCTTTGTATGGAAAATGTTTTAAACTGTTTCTGAATTTTTAATGATGAAATATCATTCTACTTCCGAGGCACTGGTTGTTTCAAGAGTTGCAATGAGTCAGGAATTTTTTATTTTATTTTATTATTTTTTTGTAATGCTTTATTTACATTACTATTCTTCAGCTTCCAGTGTAAAAATCAGGAGTAATGGGTGCATTATCAAATAGAGATTTATCTATTGGTGTAGTAGAAAATTTTAACCTATGTTCAGGAGAATTGAACAATGTTGAATTTTTTGTAACTCTATTTTCTTAAACAGCTTCAGCAGTTGTGTTATGGAGTCTGCTTGCTCCATTCTTGTAGCTTAGATTCAAAGAGTGCAACCGTGCAACCAATAATTAAAATAACGTAGTAATGATACTCGATAACAATGATATGAACACTTACTATAGTAGTTGGTATAAGTAATAGATGTTTCTCGCCATCTGCTAATGCCGAGATGACATTTATTTCTATCCTCATGATAACATGATACGTGTCGAATATATATAAAGCTCCAAACTAATGAACCCACAATCAGCACACACACTGCTAACATCTTGGATTTTGCAGAATGGGCACCAGAGCAAGGGTTTGCTATGCTATCATGCATTGCTTTGGTCAAGCTAACATCTTACTGGTTGTGCTGGTATCTCTCTCAATTGACTCGCACCATGCACTCTTCAGTCGAACCAACACTCGTCAGGTTGCACAGTGGTCATACCTCTACAAGGTTAGACTGCACATTTTTCCTGCCACAGAGTAAGCTTCTTCCAATAATCTCTACCTTGGCTACTCCATCCAACAAAATCACCTGAGTGCTCTTTGGATCATGCATTGTCTAGGCTAGGAGCAGGACTTAGGAAACTCATTGTGCTCCCGAATTTGTTATGAGTGACTCCTGCACAATTATTCCATGATCCACTTGGGATTCGAAGATTACTTGGCGCCAGGGGAAGGGTTATCTTAAGTGCAATGATTGTCAAGGTGTCTCGTCTATACCTCACTTATCTTAAAAACTAAAAAGAGAGGGAAACATCTTATTGAACTGCATTTACAATATATGCTTGCCCCATTAAGACCTCCGGTTGGAAACTTCCCGACAGATTTAGTACGATCCAAACTTGTTTACAAGAGGGCATCTTAGACATTTTACTACTGCCATATTCTCTTTTTAGACCACCTTGGATGTGTAGCCCATTGGGATTTGCTTTATCTTGAATGTAACACCTCAATTATTGATTCACCCCAAAAACCTCAATTTTGCAACTCTTTAGGCCGCTAGATGATCCTATTCCACAAGATTAGGCTGTGCACTTCTCTAGCCAAGAACTTCTCTGTTGCCTAGGCAGGGAGCATGATTTGGAGTTGGGGAGCTCCTCGAGCTCAGTCTCTGGTTATGGAATGACATCTTCCATCCTCCAAACCCAAACCAAAAAAAAAATATGTTTATGCTATGACCAATTAAGGAACTTAAGAACTTGACTTGGTGGCTATAGCCTAGAGTTCATCAAGTCCCATTGCGAGTTACACCTCAACAAGTGTTAAAGAGAGAGAGAGAGTGCGTGACTTCAGAAAAAATATGCCCCAATGACATGGTTGTATCTTACTGGACAGCATGAGCTCCTCTTCCCTTCACTAGTGGACTCCAAATGAAGTTCTTATCCGATCTCGTATACTAGGGAACACTTTCTGCCATATTTAATATGGTCCTAGTCCATTTTCAAGGGGCTTTAGAAGCATCACCATCAAAAGACAGATTCTCATCTTTCAAAACTGAGACCAAATGTAGGGGTAAATGTGACTTCGGGATTCCTTGATCATTTCACGCTTTAACTCTTATAAACCATATGGGTTCTTATAGCACAGTTCACTTGTGGTATGTGGTCTCCACCATTACTCTCTTTATGTATCCATGTTACGATCCTGTGAGATTTATGGTGGTGCTAGGATCTCCTTCCTTTTTATAGTGCTTATTATTCTAATGTTTAATGACAATCAATAATTAAAGAGTTGAAAGCACCTATTCTAATTGCTGACCAGTGTAGAACCAAGGAACCTAAGTTAAAAATATCAGATTATAACTCCAAACAGCATCCTCCTCTTTACCCCTACCTATATCCGAACAATCCCCTATACCTAGACTCCAACTTAACCGGAACTATCACAGTCATCAATATAATAATGTCCGAACGCCAAATTTCTGTTCAACTGCCAATATTAGATTTATCTCAACCAATTCAACCATCTTTCCTATTGTCCCTCTCTCAAGCCTGCCGAGAATGGGGCTTCTTCCACATTATCAATCATGGTGTCTCGAAGGATCTTCTCAGCAAAGTCTGCATACTCTCAAAGTGTGTTTTTAGATTTCCTCAAGCTTCTAAACTCAAGCTTGGTCCTTCGTCATCCTTAAAAACGTACACTCCCCATTTTATAGCCTCTCCATTCTTTGAGAGCTTGCGAGTGACCGGACCAGATTTTTTTGCCTCTGCTAGAAGTTCTGCTGAGGTACTTTATGATCATCAGAATTCTGAATTTAGGTAATACTGTTTTAGTTCCTCTCTCTCTGACACGCCTGCTCGCACATGCACATGCACATATTTCACTCTTCTTATAATTAGTTTGATGTTTCTTTTGTTCATGTATTCCGTTTTTTATACTATCATAGTGAGATATTGCAAGAATATGGAAACAAGATGGTGGAGTTGTCAAAGAGAATTATAGAGCTCATCTTAATGAGTATGGGAGATGGTTATGAGAAGGTTTATGCATCTGAATTCAGCGACTGTCATGGGTATTTGAGGATAGTTAACTACTCCCCCCCAGAGACTGTTGAACATGAAGAGGTTGAAGGACTTGGAAAGCACACTGATATGAGTTGCATAACCATTGTCTATCAAGACGAGGTTGGTGGACTCCAAATGAGATCAAAGGGAGGGCAGTGGATAGACATAAACCCGTGTGAGAGTTCTCTAGTAGTTAATATCGGAGATTTGATGCAGGCTTGGAGCAATGGGCGATTAAGATCTTCCGAACACAGGGTGGTCCTGAAGCGATTTGTAGACCGGCTCTCGTTGGCTTTCTTTTGGTGCTTCGAGGATGAGAAGGTGATTGTAGCTCCGGATGAAGTTGTGGGAGAAGGAAATTCAAGGACCTATAAGCCATTTGTTTGTTTAGATTATTTAAGGTTCAGAGAGAATAATGAGGAAGGCAAATTCGAGAAAGTCGGCTATACTGTGAATGATTTTGCAGGAACAAAACCTCAAATGGGTGACTAGCATTGAAAATTTCACAACCTGTTGGACTTGGGTATAATTGTTGGTTGTTATTTATTTTCTTTTTCTTTTTGTTGCTGTTTATTTATATATCAATGGTATTATGTGTTAGAGGACTTAAATTACTCTTACACTTTCTCTAGCATCTTAACCTTTTACAGTAGGTAAAGTGATCCACGTGCTGAATTGGCCTAGGTGAGCAGTGTGTTATTTAAGCTTTTAAAATTGACTGTGGTTAACATTTTATTAGAAATTTGTGCTGTGTTTGGCTGCCAAGGAACAAACAATTATCTTAGAAATCATTAAAAGTATTTGTCTATTCTAACTTTCTTAGAGATACGATTTATGTGGTTGTGTGTTTCTGATTTCCAGATGAGCACAATGACAAGAGTAGCGTAGCCTATTGGATAGAAAGTTGGGGTGGGTGAGATTCGGAAATAGATCTTGTTTTAGGTTTAATTCCACCACCACCACTTCTGTCACTCTCTGTGTGTTTTTTATTATAATTGTTGTTTGTCTCTATGTGCTATTATTATTGTTGTTTGTATGGACATGAATACGTTGAAGATGATATATGTTCCACATTTTTTCCATACCCACCTTAGAAAGTAGAATCATTTAAAAGTTAAGGTTATTTGAATAAAAACCTTCCGTCTTTTTTCTGTCAAGGAGATTATAATCATTATACTTTATTTATGGTAGGATTTTGTTTTTAACTGGGTCCCACAATGAAGAAGATTTAGTTTATTAAGGATAAGTGGTGTGAGCATACAAATTTATTTATCTACTATTTTTTAAAAGTAGAGTATCATTTAAGTTAAAAAATAACAAATAACGATGTGGTACTTTATTTTTTTTATCTACTCAACTATCTCATTCTTTATTTATTATTTTATTAATTTAATTTAAAATTAAAATAAAATAAAAAATTTGAAAACAACCCAACAGATACAAGACACATAGTCGCAAGCAATTAAACAAAGAAAAAAAACTTGTAGATTATTCTCCAAGCTCGCTCCATCAGTAGACACCATCCCATAGAGAGTCATTGTAGGGCCCACAAAAAAACCACTCCACTTGTCATACCCCCTCTCTCTCTCTCTCTCTCTCTCTCTCTCTCTCTCTCTCTACACTAATACACTCTCTTCCTAAAACAACTTGCGCCGAAAGCATGACACTGAACACACGGGAAAAGACATGCAAGGAAAATCATATCAAGGAAAGAGAATTTCAAATCTGCACAAATTCAAAGAACAATGGGAGAAGATGAATTTGGCAATAAGCTAACATATTCATAGTCTTGTGCATATGTGAAAGAAAACATGAAGCAATAACGATGACTTGGATTATTAAGACAACAAATGTCTTGTTTTTAATAAGAGCGATGCTACTAGAATGCAAGAGAAAAGTCAACAATAGACATTCAAATTGTTTTTAGTAAAGCAAGAAAAGTGATCAATAGACATTCATTAATTTATTTTCCTTCCGAGCTGCCCCAACTTTCTCGCCCACCTCTCTAACTTTCTCTCTCTAATCGCTTCGTCTTCTTCACTCGGCCTCTGTGCTCCCTTCCACAAGAGTGAAGAGATGAAGGCCGCTTCCCACGACTGTAATAATAAATTCAGCGTGTTTCAATAAGTGTGATTGTAATAATAAACTCGGCGTGTTTCAATAAGTGTGCTCCATGGATGTTTTTTTTACACCACTTTTTTGTTTTCTTCGACTAGATCTATTTATGTTCGGTTCGTTTTCGGATTATATGGGCAAATCTATTGTTTTCTCCGACTAGATTTCTGGTCTAGGTTGGTTTTGGTTTTTCCCGTCTCAATTTAATCTTTTTCTCCTTAATTTGATCTTGTGCGGGATTTCTTGGGTGTTGGAGCGTCTTGTAATTGTAACTTTGGAACGGTTGCCGTGATAATGGCTAGACCTTTCGGTCTTTCCTGTTTGCTGCGTTCTCCCATGGTGGTTCCGTTTGCAGAGTGTTGAGCTTTGTTTTCTCCACAAATCTGGAACCTGTTCTTCATTTATTTGCTTTGCTTCAAGATTTGTATGTCTTTTTGGCTTGACTTTATGCCCCTGTACTGCCATCTTGCTTTAGGCCTTTGTGCCAAAAAATAAAAAACAAAAGACGTTCATGAATTTCACAAGAAACCATTTTATCAATATCTATTGGTCACTAGTTAGTAGTCCCTTTGAAAAGTCATTTTCTTACTATTATCATTTCTGGAACTACATGCCTGAAGTTGATTTTTGGCTACTAAGATTGGAGACATTAAGTTCGTAAATCAAATTATTTGAGCAGAGTAGAAGGTCTTATATACTGACTTGAGTCTGTATTAACTTCTCTTATCTTGTGTTTAGGAGCATCGAATTGAACTATAATATTGAAATTAGAGTAGATTTAGTTCGACGGAATTAAAGCCTTTACTGAAAAACTCATACTGTCAATCAATAATTGAATCTAGAGAAGTGGTTACTCTATCAATTCGAGCTATAATTTGCACCAAAAAAGGATGCATGAATTGTCGGGAGACAAACCTAATCTATTAAGTTTATCACTAGCCAAACTGAAAAAAAGAAAAATGGCCTTATTATTAATCAAATACTGGGTGATTATGGTAGGTTTTCAGCCTATATTTGTTTATACAATAATAAATTACGTTTTTCTCTGTCCCTTTTTGACTAATCCAAAAACATGTTCTTACTTTGTCTAAAGTGAAATAACCTCACTTTGTCTAAAGAGAAATTGGCTTTACATGTTACCAATCTTATCTTGATTTTAAATAAACTAGTTTTGTGAAGAGATGTTTTGTACACAGCCGACACATATTTCACCCACCACTGTCTTTTTCATATTTAAAATCATTTTAGTTTGCAGACATTTACAAGTTATTATCTTCGTCGAGTGCTTTAAAATGCATCAATAAAAACATATGCTAATCATGGAAGTAAATTAATACATACATATAAATATATATTATAGAAATTTTGTTTATTGGGCTGCTCTAATAGGGAGAGAAATCCCCAAGAACTTGTGTCAACAAATTAGAGATCTAAACAGTGTAACATAATACTACACTATTTTACATTACATCAAATCTAAAAGAGCTCAAACAACCTGCCGTTATCGGTGTAGGAATAATCTCTAACACTGGTCAATAACTCTTTGAAGTGCCTGGCTGATCATCCCTGCTGATGCAGCCGTTGGTCTCTTGAACTGCTGCAGTTTAAGCACACGAATCACAGTTAAAAAGAGTTGGTAGGACTTAAAGATAGTCGGGAACAGAAACCGTACTCAAATTTTAGATGTCAACGATTCTTGAACATAGATTAACTATAGTAATCTTGCTTCTTGCAATGACATGTAAATGAGAGTTTTGAATTGAAATGCACATTGATCGGAGTGTTTCATATGAAATACTCTGTATAGCATTGCTAAAAGGTAGATGATTGAATAAGTACCTTAGATTTAATGGTCATGGTGAGAATACCATCAATGTTGGAAGATTGAACCGAGTGAGAATCTAGGTGAAGGTTGCTTATTGCATCCACGAGTTTGATCAACAAACACTCCCTCCAGGGACACTTGATCTCAGTCAGAACATCCTCCTCAACCATACTGACAGCTACATTATCAGTCGAACTATCATTTAGGAGAACACGATTGATCTCAGGCCCAGCTTCGTCAATGTCACAAGCTTTTCTCTTGTTTATCAAGGGCTTTTTGCCGTTATCAGTTTTGTTGTTGCCATGGCTATCACATGTCCTCTCTGCAGTGTCTTGGGGTTTCCTTCTTGTTATTGCTTCTAACTCCGCGTCCTCTTTACAAGATTCCAACTCTTCCACCCTTCTCTCGAGCTCCTTGAGATATTCTATTGTGTTGTCAAGTACAGAAACTTTATCAACCTGCACAATGGGGAAAAAAAAATGAAAAAGAAGCAGCCAAATAGTTTTTAACTATTGCAGACATAGATTTAACTACCTTGCTAGCAGAAGGAACCAATGACCCAAGAACCAAAAATCTTTCGTTTATTTTTTCCCTTCGCCGCCTCTCTGACAATACATGGGTTTTGTCAGTTTCACCAACCTCTGGTCTCTGTGCTTCATCTCTCCTGCCATTACCTTCTCTAGACTCAACCAAGCAACCACCGTGCAATCGAGCAACTTCAAAGAGTACCTTCTTCAATATTCCTTGTGGAGTTCCACACGAACGCTTCTGACCACCCACCAATCCTTTCTTCCAACTAATAAAGCTGGATTCTTTATTACGATTTTGAAAACATGGTCCCAAAATCAATTGTTGGGAGCTCTTCAGAAGGGTTGAAAGAACACTTTGGTAGTGGATGTTTTCATTTAGAAAATCTAATGAGGTCAGTCTCACCTTGTTATACTCTTGAAGGTTAGGCAAAGAGCCACCACCATTTACTGTCTCTCCTTTCGAAATTGAGACAATCTTATAAGGACTTGCAATGGTTTGAGATATGCAGTCACTGGAATCCATAGAATTGTACACACAATTACTAATTTCTTCATCCATCAATCGGCAGCTTTTTGCCTGAGAAGCGCCGCCCCCACTTAAACCTTCAACCATAAGTGATTCTTCTTCTGCCGGTTGATTCAGCAAAAACCCATTCGAATTGTTACTGGGAGAACAAACTTTTACTTCTTCGCAGTCAACCGGATCAAGATTGGTGTCAAGGATATCATAATCAAGATTTGCACAAACAAGTTCCCTGTCATTTCTGGGATTGTAATCAGGTATTTTGGAAACAATTGGGTGTGGAATCTCCAAGAACGAAGTTTTTATGTACTGAATAAGGTTAGGGTCCTCTAAAACCTTCAAAAGACAATTAAAACAGAGAAATATGACTCGCAGTCAAGAATAAAATGAACCGGATCAAACTCTAAAAAGATTGAACTTGAGTCGGAACACAAACTTACCAGGTCAGTTACCCCCAGCTCAACCACACCCCCTAAAAATGGAAAGCATACCACAGTCTGCAAGGCCAAACAGGACATGTCTTATACGACACAATTCTTGAAAAAACAAACAAACACATACATAATGGTATAATTTAGTAATTTGAAAACCAAATTATTACTCTTTCTACTTTATTTCATTGTAAATTTGTTGTTGGGTGTCAGTGAATCTGATTTCTTAGGCGTTGTTTATCACATACTGTGAACTTAAGGTAATAGTTTTGCTGATGTTTAAAGCCTAACCTTGGAATTTTAGTGTATAATTGACATCGGAATAATATTACGTTTACTTCCTTTGCACATTTTTGTGAAAATTTGTTTCAAAAACAATATTAATTCTGACATTTTAGAGCAATTTATTTTGGGTCAAAGATGAGAAGAAGTACCTGGATAGATGCACTCTGAGGAAGATGGTTGGTGCGACGCCCAGTTTTTTTTTATAACAGAAATAAAACAGAAAGAAATACTCAGTTTTTGCAGTCATTTTCTTATTGTCTTTATGAGTAGAAGATTATGAAGACAATAAACTTGAATCGAGTTCAAAATGATTCAAACTTGAATTTTTTTTAAAAAAAATAAAAACGAAAGAAAGAAAGAAAGAGAAAAACCTACTTTTGCCAGCAGAGAGCGACTGAAAACTTTGCTATCTGCATACTGAGCATTGCATAGCCAGATGGGTTTTCCATTTGCCAATGTCCTTCCTGGCAACCTGAAGAACAATGTAAAAGAAAATTCAACATTAAGTTTTCAACTAAAAATCATGATAAGATATAATATTGATGATAATATATACTATAGATATCAAGAAGTAACACATTAGCGTTGACCATCACAGCAATATCACCAATGAAAATGATAGGAGCAAAAAACTTACACCATATGGTGGTAACAAAATGGTTAATTTGAATGCAGATCTACTTAAAAAGTGGGGTAAGTTTTTTGCTCCAATCATTTTCATGCAATGGCCTTTTACAGTGCACACCCATCACAGTGCAGATAACCTTTTTTTTTTCCCAGAAAGTTCACATTTTTTATTCCTCAGTGTTATGGCAAAATCATGACAGTGCTGCTCTGCACATCATATGCGCACTTTGATTACTGAAAACCAGAAAGACCATAAAAGCATAGATCTGGGCCATGTCCAAAACTTTAAAAAAAAAAAAAAAAAATTATTATTATTATTATTATTATTATTATTATATATATCATCCGAACAAGAAACTCACACAACCATGTCCCCGGGGACTTGGAACTTCACACCTTCTACTTTGGACGGTGAGTAAGTAGGAAAGAAGTTGAAAAGAACGAAATAAGAGGAAGCAAGCATGAGGAGGAAAATTACCCTTGGCCAATATTGAACATGAAGGACATGCAAACCAGGTAATACCACTCTGTATCGGTGAGATCTTCAGGGGACAATGCAGCCGAAGGGCGTCTAACTTGTGTGTTGGTTTCACCGGCGGCGAGAGATTCGTAAAGTTCTCTCAATTGCTCACTCCTCTGCAACCCCAGTTGGTCAGCATTGAATTCCATAGCTTGAACTGTTTTCCTTGTCTTGATGTCCCCGTTGTAGTACCCATCACCCCATTCCAATACCCTAACAAGTAATTAACCATTCACAATCGGTAAAAATGTGTTTATAAAACAAGAAAGTGGTAGTTGTTAAGTTGAAAGAATTTTCCTTTGCATAGTAGGCGAGTAGACCAATTAAAAAACTAAAATATGCAAAAACAAAGAACAGTTCAAAGAAAGAAAGAAAAAAAAAAAAAAAAAAAGTCCCATGAAGCTCAATTGCATTCCCTTTAGCAGATTAAACAAACAACACATCAAAATTGGATCTGGATTATACGAGTTTCAATTGTGCAGTCACCACATTATACTAGATTCCATAGATGAGCAGAAATCCCTTAAACCTCACCCCCTAAAAAATTGAAAAAACAATAATAATAATTCCATTTCAAAATAATTTTCCTTGAAAAAAACAGGCTTATTTTCTTGAATTCAAACCTATATTACAAGGATTTAGCAACAACCCATACCCCCTTCTCACCAAGGACAAAAAAAGAAAATATATGGTATTTCAAAATTCTAAAGAGAACTCCTGATGGAAGAAGAGAAGAAAGACAATCGAAAAGAGCAGAGATGGAATGTTTAATACCCTGGTTGTCTTGATGAAATAGACCAGAAGATTGCATAGCTCCACTGAATGCTTCTAACAGCAATAGCTAGCTGCTTCCTTAGGTTTTCTGGCACTCCCTTTAGGTTTTGGTGCCCAGTGGCCATATTCCACCAATTTCTCCCTCAGCTCTCTTTCTCTCTCTCTATATATATCCAAGCATGTGAAAACTCCACCACTTAATCAGATCACAGAACCCACCCTGAGGTACACAATTTTGCTAAAATTACAACCAAGGTACAACCAATAAAACATGTGTTTTGACTTGAATTATTGATTCTAAGGACAGCAGCACTGTTTATTTTGCTAAAACTTTTTTTTTTTTTTTGTTCTTTGAACCAACCAAACACAGCTCTAAACCAATCAGAGGTCTTGCCTTTTAAATTTTATATAGTTAAAAGCTTCAGCAAAGTGACCAATTCAAGAGGGTGTTCCTGGGTAGCTAGTTTCTGTAGCTACAAATGCAAGAAAAGGAGAAATAGAAGCACACTGATAATGATACTTGCGAAGTTTAAAGGCCATCAGTGCACTGTTGGTAGACCAGTAAGTAATAAACAATTTCCTGTTGTGTACAGAATCACAAACTCACCCCCGAAAACATATATATATTATATATAATATATATATATATATAATATTGTGAGTTGAGTTGAGAATTTCACTTGACAGAGCTTTGATGTCAAATAAATAAAGAAAGACATGTTTCATAAATGAGGAGTGAGGAGGTTGGGAACACTGACAATATTTCTTTGTATTTTGCTCTGTTTTGAAAAGGCCACATGATAGAGCTCTCTCTCTCTCTTTGAGGTGCATTTGGTTTTTTTTGGTCCAAAACTCTGGCCCTACAATCAAATCAAAGACACCACCTTTACGTGAAGGTGAATACTGATACTACATCTCTTTGCACCAGGAAAGGAATCAAAATCAAAATAAAAACAATAACAGCTAATTGGTGATTTAAAGTTTTGAATGGGAAACAGATAAGTGCAGTACTACTAAAGTCTCTTTTAAGAGAAAAGCCTTCAAACATGGTAGAGTTTATAGATTTTTGTGGGGATTGCTTTATTAAATCTGCCTATGCTCTTTTAACTGCATTATATATTTTTCTCGGAACCGAGATATAGAGGGTTTTATCTCACTAATTCTAGGAGCTCCCAAAGAATTATTTATACTTGTGAGAGCGTAGTCTCAAAGAATTAGGAATCCAATTTTAAACTTAATGCTTCATGAGTCACCGGATCCAAGTAATTAACGAACTATTATATAATATATTTATATACATGCAAGTATTTAAGTGTGTAATTGTTATTGCAAGAGAAAAGAAGAAATGAAAAATAAAAAATATATATATATTTGTTATTGCACGATAAAAGAAGAAATGAAAAGTAAAAAGTAACAAAAACGAGGAGTTGTTATAAGTGAAGCTCCAAAGGGTAATTGTCTGTGAAGAAGAGGAGAGTTTTATAGACACAGAGTTTTAGAAAGAGAGCAAGGGGTAGTGGACATTAAATGCCGTCCAATGTTCTTTATTGGTGTGGTTTGTTGGAAAATACTCCAATAACAAAGAATCCAAGACTAGTTATTATATCTATTGAAATATATATATATATATATATATATATATATATATATAATATTTATAATGCAGCAAATAGGAAGGAAAGGGTACTGGATGAAAGGAACAAATAGAAGGAAGGGATTGTAGAGAGATGCATGAGATAACACAACTAGCTGTGTGTGTGTGTGGATTTTTTTTTTTTTTTTTTTTTTTTTTTTTTTCAGATTTAAGTGTATTGCTGTTCATGTACAACAAGAATTCTCTTTTTTCTATTATACTTTATTAAATGACTTGTCTTGTCTCTTCTTACATCTAATTTTTTTAAATTATTTTAAATTACTTCATTCTACGATAATTTTGTTAATTTTGAACAATTTCATTGTCTTTTACCTTGTATGTGAACTACTCTTTTCTAGAGTTATCAACCGGCTCGATATTTTCATTCTAGTTACATCAATATGTGTTCGTGTTCTTGTTTCTTTTTAATACCCAACACTATTTTTTGGTATCACATAAAATATAACTAGTATTTCTTCATTTTGTCCATTAATTAATATAATAATCTATTGTATTATTCATGATTCTAAGTATAAAAAATGATTGTCATTGCTATTATAATATTATTACATTCCAAATCTTTATAAAAATTTTGCATCTCATTTTAGTAATTTATAAATCTTTTATTTTTAATTAATGCATTTTCTCCAAATTTTAAAATTTGTTCCCTTATAAATATAACACCACTGTGTCACTGAAGGTGTTTGATTCTCTTTTTCTTTTCTCACTTTTATTCCTATCATAGTACTATATAGCACGATAATCACATTGCATGATATCATGATGAAAGTGTGGAATGGAAGATGTAAAATAATTGGACTGCAGAAAGGGTTTGCCAAAAAAGTTGTGAATAATATCATAATACGACAGGGTTACAGAATATCCCTTTCCATGTTTGTCCCTTCGCAAGGTAAAGCCCTGTGACGGTGTAAGGAATTTTTCACCAAAACTATTATAACTGCCAAGAACCTGCGTCACCGTCATCTTTTCGTGTCTGAATCAACACTGACTTCTTGGCTCGACTAGCTTCCATCCAACTCGGCTGAAATGTCTTTTTCTTTTTTTGCCCTTTTTTTAAAAAAAGATAACTAAAATTAATAAATTAAAGTAATTGTTTATAAAGGGTGTCATGACTCATATGAATTGAGTGTTAACTTTATTTAATAATTTAAATTTTAGGTCGGATTACGAGACATTTAACCCGTTACGAATTTTGATTGATCGAAACTTTGAGATTTGAAATGGCGGTCAAGCCAGCCGATGAGGACTCAGTCTGCAATCATTCACACGGTTAATATTAGTGTCAAACTTAATTCGTAATTTGGTGTCACCAAAAATTACCTAATTGAGAGACGTAGTGGATTCAATGAATGAAAATGTGAGATTATAGTTTTTTTTTTGTTTTTTTTATTTATCTTTTAACTGCAAAACTTATGATAATAATTATGATAGAGACATTGTAAGAATGGATTTAAGTTTTTGAGTATGAACTAAACATTGGATTCATGGCACGCAAAAGAATTTTATCTGCAAAACTTATGATAGTAATTATGATAGAGACATTGTAAGAATGGATTTAAGTTTTTGAGTATGCACTAAACATTGAATTCATGGCACGCAAAAGAATTTAGGAGGAGTGGGTGAGAAAATTCACACTTTCATCTCCAGCTACTAAGATTTCTTCCAACTTTAATGATGGAATAATTAATTTAAATTTGACTTCTTTGTTATATTAGTGACGCAATTTATTAAAAGCCAAACATGTATCGTGAAGTGAATATTTAGTTGTTCACCAAGAAGAGTATATTACATCTTGATTATTGACGTGGACCAATAATATATGAACACATACTCTTTAATTACCAAATCAAATATGTTAGATACATATTCACTAATCAAATCAGAAATGGTAGGTTAATTATTTTCTCTGATTTGGTAATTATTGGTACACACGGTTATAATGGTAGACATTCTGACCAATAAGAGTTTAAGTATTGTCCTACTCAAAATGTATTTTTCTAAAAATAAAGAAAAATTCTATAAACACAATTTTTAATACTATTAACAAGAAAGAAGAAAAACACATAACATTTACTTTCAAAATACTTTTGGAGAACAATAAATCAAACATCGTTTTGACCTTGTCAAAACCCTTTATATATATATATATATATATTGTTTCAAGAAGAAAAGTTGTTACTTTAGTAATTGCACCAAAAGGCAAAGACACCCAACAAACACCCTCAAATTTCAACAATAAATATATTGAATACGTAGTATAATCTAAGCGCAGCCTTGAACCCTAGCTAGGCTGCGCTTAGATTATACTACGTATTCAATATATTTATTGTTACACACTCTTCTTTTTATAATTAAAAACACTCTTATTTTCGTGTTTCTTTTTAATATTGTAAATGTCAAAAAATATTTTAAATATTTGATTTTTTAGAAACCCTAACATATATCAATACAATTTAAACGAGAAGTCATTTACAAAAGGGAAAAATGATGAATAAGGCTTTTCTTGTTAAATATGTGTGTATTTATATCATCATTATTATTGTTGTTGTTTTAATTTCATATGTGTGTATGGAGAAGTGAAAAAACTCGCCATAAATGCCTCAAAGATGTGAAACAACTAAGTGCAATTCGTCATGCGTTTAAAATAGATAAATATATATATATATATAACAGTAAAAGTTTTAATTTTTCTCATAAAACAATACTTTTTGATATTATCTATCATGCTAACCTACAATGTAGAAAAAAACTCTATATAATTCAAACGTTAATCAAATCATACCAGTGGGTGATGGACTAACTCCAAAAAGAGTCACTTTCGAAGTAATGAACTTGCTACCAAAACATTACAATAATAAATAGTACAAATATTTTGCTCGACCCTCCTTTAGAATATATTAATTTTCGTTTGTGGACTCTGCCTTTTGAATTGATGGATCTTCAAAAGGCTAGTGAACCGTCCAGGTGCACATCCTAGCCAAACTATAGGCCTTAGTGGCCACTACGACACCATTCACATCAACCGTACGACTCACCGACTAATTCTATTTTTACAATAATTTAGATATAGAGATAAGATTTGTAGTTTGAAAAAAATTTAAAATATTGTAACAGCGTTACGGATAGCTCATAGATTAAAATCATTAAATATTGATTCGTAATTACAGTTACAAAGAAGAATTAGTTGCTGTTCCAAAATTGTAAAAAAATTCCTCCTACAATATATTTATGATATAACCATTCAAAATATATATATATATATATATATATATATATATATATATATATTTATGATATATTTTTTTTTGTCCCAAAAAGAAAATGTTCGTATTTGTTTTGTAAATTATTCCACAACAAACAATATATTTTACATTTTTCATATATATTATTAGAATTTAAAATTTAAATATTCAAAATTTAAAAGGCAAGTTAATAATTTTTCGAAGGACAATATATGACCCACATGTCCCTTGAAGTTTTCAACTTTTTAAAATGAATATTTTTTTTAAGTTGAGAGTATAATGTTCTAAAATGTGGCTGAAAGTTACCTAATAACATGTAAACAAAGAAAGAATCAAATCACATGTTTTTGTTTTTTTTTTTGGTTTTTTTTTCAACTTTCACATCTTTTAATAGAACCTCGTGAAGGGACTAATTATTTCGTTGATTCAGATATCAAAACATCTAGTCTACGCATACTCCAAAAAAAAAAAAAAAAAAAAAAAAAAAAAAACAAAACAAAACAAAAAAAACAAAAAAGTCTACGCATGCTATTAAGGACGGGTACCCATGACTAGAATTATTACTTTAGTGGGATTAATTATGTCCCGGAAGTATAGGCGCCGAACAAGGTTAGTTTGGTATTTTATCAGCTAACGGCTGAGAACCCGTCCTAATAAGTAGCCGACTGAGCTGAGAATGTTTAAATATTTTTAAAAAAAAAATTAAGGGTGGGGACTACATTAGTATATATAATTAATAATTAATAATTATTGTTTTCATTCCTAAACATTTGGTATATTCGGGGCTACTTAACAGTCAAGCCACTCTATGACACATGTAAGGCGGCTGATGGAGGATCACAGGTCATCTTCAAAACACGTCGCTCGTGGGCTCCACTTATCTCATCACTCATTTTGTTTTTTTCAACCAATGTGTTGTACTTAATGTCAATCCTTTTTTCTTTTATTTTAATCAATTAGGACCTCTTTTTTTTTTTTTTTTTTTTTTTTTGCTAGAAAGTTAGTATTTGACTAATTTTCATTAAGTTGAACTCTTTTCTACAAAATTTGGTATTTTTCTAGCTAAATTAATTATAAAAAAATTCATTGAGCTCTCGATTGAATTTTTAGTCATTTTGGTAGCACGTTTTCTAAACATTAATAATGGAGCAAGCCTGACTTGGAATTGATTGATATGTTGATTGTAGCTTGTGCTAATATGAAAAATTAATGAAACAAAATAAAATACAAGTGTGGTTACTTAAAGTCAAAATGAGTAGTTACATTAAATACGAAACAAACAATGCATGAATGTGCATGAAGTCGTGAAATCCATTTAACGGGGTTAGATTACGTGAAAAAGATGGAGCACTTGGAAGGCACGAGATCAAGTGGGACCAAATGTATGACGTTTCACATCTTATCACTGTCATTGATATTTTTGAACAGGCTTGATTGAGTGGATTTGAATTTCCATCTCCATGATTGCATCCGATTAAGTACGGTACAAAGACAGCCCTAGTTAGTTTTTTAGTCTGTCATTTCAATGTCACAATTAAATTCTACTAATTAACACTAACCTTATACTACGTATATAACATACTCATCCCCACTGTTTCATTTGACTATTAATGTAATTGGGTGATTTTGATATAACACTGGCTTCTACTTTAATTGCCACGTGGACAGTAAATTTAAATATTCTCAAGTAGTCTGCTATACCAACTCATTAATTTAACTTTTTTTTCTTAGGATTTTTTTACACGACAATTCCGTTTTAATTCCACCGGGGTGAACTTTCATAATTTGATTAACGAATTTTAAAATTTATTAAATAATTTATTTGACTTTTCACACATTTTGAAACATTACTACGGTCTTAATTTAGTGATTAAATAAAAAAAATTATGTCTTGTTATGAGAAGACTCACAATAGTATTACTTTTAATTAATTAATTATTCTATAATTATATATATATACATATACACTATATATAATAGTGAAACTAAGAAGGATCATTAGTTCAGATGGCACCATCACTATCGCCACTTAGACGATTTGATAAAATACCATAATGTATGTAACTTGTAGTCCATTGCTCGAAAGAAACTTTAATTTGAATTTCGTGGTCCATTGCGCAATCATGTAGTATAATAATAATTTACTTAAATTGCCTTTGCCACACAAACATCCTATATGATTTTTATATCATGTGTTTCATGGAACTCCTACTCAATCTATTCCGTCACGTGGGTCCCTCCCCATGATATTTTTATTCTTATTTGCTAAATAAATACTACATAATGTTTTTTTGTTTTTCGATACAGAATTCTAGATGCTGTCGTAAATCATTTTTGGCGTCTCCTTAAAGGTATTGACTGACCTAGGAATGAAGGGGTGTGTATTTGTTTAATAGTTGGTATGTACCTGTCGGATTCGTTGAGCCACATCTATTATTATTATTATTATTATTGTTGGAGTATTAGAATCCAGACAAGCTGCTTGATTGTGTGTGTGAGACAGACGCAATTGGCACCTTAAGAATATTATTACTTGGGTTGCGATTCATTTTTAAAGCTCATCATCTACCTACTTCTTCTATAATTAACCTCGCCAACCAACTTATCTACTTTATATATCACACGTAGTAGCTTTCACAACATAAACCTATTGTTTTTCTCAAATTTAATGTGTTTAAAGGCTCTGAGAATAGGTAGAACAACCGTATGCAGTAATCAATAGGGACAAAAACATGTTTTACTGCAAAAATAGCAAATACATGTGTTTGTTCCAAAGTTCAAACAAACGTGCAGAAATCTAAATATAATCACACGGGCTTCACACCAGTGCTTTTCACATTAATTACCAAATTAATAAATCATCTATCTATATTGTGGTTCCTTATGCCTTCCTTAGTTCCTTTACCTGAAGACACATTTCAATAAGTCACAACTCTTTTCTATATTTGAATCTCTTGGCCAAGATTATGTATTACTTTTGAGAAGAAAAATAAATAAATAAATAAATAAATTATGGATGAATATTTAGAACACCTTACCCATACTGCAAATGATTCACAAGCACAGCTAAAGTGGAACAAGAAGCAAGCAAGTGTAAGAAAGAACTCAAAATAACCATTGAACTAGAAAGGTCAAACATCCCCTTGTTAGTTCCAAGCCAGACAGTTCAACAGGTAATGGTATCACCCATAACAAACGTTAAATGAATATCCAAGTTAAATCAGCATAAAACATGTACAGAAGAACATTGAATTATTAAACATCATTATCGACCCACAGTATATCGAGTAGATCATCATGGCAGACGGAGGAGTCTGTTTACAGCTGAATCCAGAGTATCAACATTCCTCCTCAAGACCTTTCTTCACAATCGTCAAGGAAGCAAAACAAAGGCCCAATTCATCAAAATAGCTGTATGGAGGGTTCTAAGATTTAAGTTTATGATATTAGCTGTTCAAATGATAAGGATTGTAAACAGTAGACACATACCCAAAAAGCGAGTGTGTGTGTGTAACATGAATAATAAAAAGGATACAGCTGCATGGCTAGACTGTCAACGCCTTTCATTTCCTCGTTCAATCTGAAGCAAATATATTCAAGAAATAAGAATGAGCACTGGAAGATAAAAGTAGAAAAAAGATGCCTTGTTGGGGAAAATGGGTAAAAATGATGACACATAATAAATATCATCTCAAGGATTCTCTCATTCTAGCATACAAACTCTGCCAAACAAAATGATTTGGAATGATTTGGGACAGCCGAAACCCTGAATCTGCTACGGCCAGCTACAGCAGAAACAGATTATTCCTCCGTCCAGGGTTAAAAAAAAAAAAAGGTTTTTACTATGCATAAAGCATCCTTTTCTAATTTTCTAATTTCAAATTAACCTCAACCAGTTCCTCTATTCAGCTCTATGTAAGGCCATAACTTCAACCAACCCACATGCCATCATATCTCCCCCTGTTGATCTCAGTCCATATTAATTTAGGCCCTCAATGTGTTGCCCCTAGTGAGTGATCAGTCTTCACTGCAAATGGCCAGACCATCTTAGTCGATTTTTCCCATTCTCTCTCGTATCAAATTGACCTCCTTTATAAATTTTCTTCGTCCACCTCTGAGCTATAGCTGTGGACAGTATATATAACTATTAAAGATTCTTTCATCCAATCATCTTAGTAAATTTATATTTAAAAAATCAATTTCTTTCCATTAAATTTTCGTGCCAAAATTAATAATTATATAAAAACAGGAAAGATTGATAAATAAAATACACAAAATTAAACAATTAGCAGACACTAACAAAAATAAGAATGCCCCCTTAGTTCTATCTTCTATTTCTGTAATTTCCCCATAAATGCAACTATAACAGAGCACCACATTTTATTTTGAAATAAACTTTAAAAACACATGGAAATACTTAAAGGTCAGATGAATAAGCGTTTCTCATAACAGCAAAGTTTAAAATTAAAATATATACCTGAGACACGAATTTATATAACGATTTCCCTTTGTCGTTGCATCAAGTGCTGTAATGTGAGAAGAAAAAAAGGACACAATTTCAGAACATCAATTTTATAATCAACTTAGAAATCCATGGAATAACTCCATAAGTATTTGGTAATGTGATATTTATAGGAAGAAATTATCAAAAGGGTTTCTTTGGAGGGAGTGTGGGGGTACAGTCCGATGAGAGAGGGAAAAAAATCAAGAAAATAAATTATTGTTAATATAAAAAAATAAAACAAACTACCCTTCCAGCATTGCAAATTGTAACTATCATAAGTTTTTCTTTTTTGCTAAGTACAGACCAATAAGTAAAAGGTGAAAACATTAGACAAGGCCTTGGAACCTCTGAAGCTGAAAGAAGAGGCCAAAGGTAAAAGGCTAAGGCCTGATACCTATTTTTCAAAATTTAGATAAATGGATTATTTATTTATTTCTTTAATTTTTGGGTAAGAAAGCAATACACCACAGATAAGTGAAGATTGAGGGATATTCCATCTCTTCAAGTCAATAACAATCATTTAGTTTTTTTTTTTTTAATTTATTTTTTATTTTATATATATATATTTGATATGTTGTTTTATTTATTTATTTATATATATATACAAGGATAATCATTTAGTGCTAAAAGGCAAAGGAGATAATATAAAAACTGGAACATCTAAGAATATCGATTAAGATTAAAGAAGTCGGACGAAAGTATGAAACTACATCATAAGTAACGGTGTTAAATCCCTTCAAATAAAAGTTGGATGAAGCACCCCTAACAAGTCATATCACCCCTAATCTTGAGTTTTAAGTAACACAACATGTCTATTCTACAGAGCTTTTTTGTAAAGCCATTCTAATTAAGGCCTTAGTCTAGTTGACCAAATTGGAAAACTTTGATTAGAAGCATAGAGTCGATACAGGATACTTGTCCTACACCTACTATCAGACTCTTTAACTAAAACAAATCTTTCACCCAACAGAAGAGAAGAAGACATAGTAGGTAGAATATTGTTTGATTGGCATCTTGAAAAAACTACTTGATTTTGATAGCAAAAGTAAAAGGCAGTTTTGCTCCCAAAATAAGAATAAGTACTTTGAAATGACATCCAATATTGCAACACACACATTAATCACATTACTATTATATCATGAATGACTAACCTATGTTGGACATGCTTTATTACATGGTTCTTTCATTTACTCTAAGATGTAAATAAATTAAACGCTCAAAGAATGTGGTTGTGTCACTATGTCCCGATGATTCAAGGATAAAACAAATCTCACAGAGTCACAATTAGCAATGCACCCATGCTTGAGTCCATGTGGTGTAGCTCTTCACTTATTCCTAACTTGAGAAGGAATACATCTTGTTTCATATTGTTTGCCTTGAAAAGGACTGCCAAATTGGTGACCAATATCATTGATGGAAATGAGACACAGATGGCTCTCAGCCAATCATCCTTATTTAACATTCATATCATGACTACCTTAACATGTTTGTGTCTACTGGGGGAAAAAAAAAAAAGCATGATATGGTCCACAGGAATCTTTCACTTACCACATTCTTGAAGGCGCCCCGCTGCATCACTGAAGCAATGCATATGATCAACCGAACTGCTAGTAACCTACAATGTTCATCAGCCAGAGAAATCAATAAGTAAAAGAACTCGATCATAACAAATTAAATTCCCATCTTCATCTTAGAAAAACATCCTATTAGGACCAAGTCATATGATTCATAGTTTCTCGAAATGAGATAAATCTTCTTAAATTTGATCGGGCTACAACCCCTAATAATGTTTAACAAAATGGGTATGTTGCCACATTCACTTCCCCCAAGATAACAAGGTTCTCCACTACTCTCTGTGTGTGTGTGTGTATATATAATTTGTTAATTCACTACTCACTAGCAGTTGCTTTAATTTTTTTACTCTATAATCTAATTCGTCACCATCGTCACTTCAACAATGTCAAACATTCAGACAACAGAATTCTCCAAAAAAATAAAACATAAATTTTAGGTGTATCCCCTGGTATTTGCAAATAGAGATAGTAGTCAAATAAAATGAAAGCAAAAATAAATACTCCTTTTCCCTAGAAAATACTTTCCTACGAAACAAACAAAGGTCATTTTTATACCAGAAAAAACATTGATGTGGGATTGTATGTTCTCTTTCAGAAAAACACAGACCCACAATACAAATTAAATGATTACACCAAATCAACTAAATTGAAGAAGATATGAAGTAGAAAAATCGAAGTGAAGAGTGAGAGACCTCAGAGAGGGCCAAACGGAGAGAAGCGAAGAGAGTGGTGAAGCTCTCGGCAATCGCCACGGAGTCCCTCTCGACCACTTTGAGCGCTCCCAGAATCTCTTTCTGACCAAATTTCGAGGGTTTCGATTCACCAGCTCCATTATCTTCTTCTTGATCTTCCTGAGAATTCTGGTCACGCGTTGTTGATTGCTGATTTGTTTCAGTATCTGAAATTAGGGTGTCTGAGGAGATCGTTGTTGTTGTTTGAGCTTTGTGTGCGCCTCCTTCTTGTGCTTCCATTTTCAGGTGGTGCTTCTAAGGTCACACCAGTTGGCTGCGAATTTGATCGTGACTCTATGACCGATTTATGTTTGAAAACAGTCCGAGCCCTTAACCGGGTTCAATTATTGGCCCGAATACTGAAATAGAAGTTATTTATTTTTTTTAAAAGCAATAATTGGATACAGGTGATGAAAAATTTACAAAAAATATATATACTACTGAGGACATTGATTATTATTATTAGGTGATTTCTCTCTCTCTCTCTCTCTCAACCTACCTAAAGTAGTGCCCCTTGAATTATTTAAAAAGTGTAATTTAAGAACAAAATCAAAATTTCTCGTCACCAGAGATATTAGATCATCAAATTACCCATGACCCTTGTTTGATTGCAAAAAACCTCTTAACTATTGTCTTTTGCCAAAACAAAATCCTAGACTACAAACAACTCCTTTAAACTACTGATTTATTGTAACTAAGGATATGCCCATCACAAAAAATAATTTTATCCACTATTATTAAATTAGTCATTTCTTATTAAATTATCTTTATTATCCTTTTCCTTATCTAAAATATTAATTAGACCATTTATCTTAAAATTTTCTTTTTTAAATTTACCTTAATTTTATTATTTATATCAATTTATCATAACAATAGGAAAAAAATAAAAATACAGTGTTGTAACTTCTATCAAATTTAGCCATTTTCTACAATGATTATCTTATTGTTAAAAAAAAATTCGTATATATTTTATGAAAAAAATGTATCAAGTGTAATTCAATAAGAAATGACATTATGACCATTTAACAAAAAATGTGATAATTCATGGGACGTTATGACAAAATATAGTTCAGGGAGATTATTTGTAAATTTGGACATAGTTTAGGAGTTATTTGCACTTTACCCTTATATATTTTAATGGTAACAAGGATACAATTGTCATTTTCAAATTACAGGGTCTAATCTGAAAAAACAAACGGAATAGTGACACCGGGTGTTTTTTTGCAAAAAATCAAATAATTTAGAGGATTGAGGCTCCGTTTGTTTAGACGTAAAATATTTTTCAGAAAATATTTTTTTATTTTCGGGTGTTCGGTTGTCATAAAATATTTACGAAGAAAAAAAATATTAAAATTTAACAAAAATAATTTATCCATCAATTTTTGACAAGTTATTTTATATGTCCCACCCGATGGACTCTACCTCAATTTTGACGTAAACATTTGTCAAACACCGACAAAGTAAAAATAAAATAATATTTAATCTAAAAAAATATATTTTAGTTCTAAACAAAAGGGACACTATAAAAATTGATTGAGAGACAGATAGAGTAAAAATTAGGAGATTTATTACACTTTACCCTTCTTATTATTACTTTTTATATATTTGAAGTTACACGTGCAAAAATACTGACTCATTTATCCGCAACCTATTAGTGGCAGGACCTTTGAACACAACATGTTGTTGGTAGGACCTTTGAAGTATCATCAACCTTCCTCTTTAAAGATAATAGATAATGTGATTGGGATTTCGGGCACAGGCCCTTCAATTGGATATGATGAAAATTAAGGGCAGAGTTCCTTCAATAGGACATGATGAAAATTGATCCATTTGAACCAAAAATAAATAAATAAATAAATAGTGAATATTGCTGTTAGTTATACTCGAGTATTCACAAAAACAAATATTTTGAAAACAAAATAAAATGACTGAGTGCTTTCTAATTCCGACTTAGTAATACGAAAGAGGGAATTGAATCATGTTTTTTTTTTTTTTCGAAAATAAAACACTAACATTCCAAAGGAGACAAAACAAAGTGAGAGAGAAGAGCCTTTAATAACTGAGGATTATATGCTCCACTTTAAATCACCACATTTGATTTTAGAAGCATTTTTACTCAACGGATGAGCAATAGAATTTCCTTCACGAGGAACCCAAACACAACTTAAGTATAACACAAATGTCATTGAACACCACTTTCAAAGCATCCGTCGAAACATGCAACTCCATAACCAGAAGACAATGTCCTTCCATAGCCACATTGTGGTAACCTCATTGATTGAGCAAAACCAAAGACTCTCACAACACCAAGCTCTCCGCCATAGACGGGCTACAAACATTTTCAAAGAACATTGTAGCAATCTTAATGGGGAAGCCTAAATGATTACGTAGGACCATGCCACCTCCACAAGACCTTATGGAAAGGTTAAAAGAAGCATCAAAATTAAGTTTAAAACAACCGATGGCTGCCCTTCCACCTCGACGGAGATGGCAAAATAGACACCAATGGAGATGCCAAGAACTTGGGATAATTATCAACTGCCTGTAAATCTTGAAAATCGTGGAACTCTTTCAGGCTAGCCTAATGCGAATCCCATCTCTTTCGATTAAAAACCAAGTCATTACGACACTTCCAAATAGTCCAACAAATGAACGTTGCTGAACCCATGCACTTTACCGAACCTCAGTTTTCGCCCATCACATAAAGAAACCGACCTTGGAGGCCAAAATGAGTGTTTCCGCATAAAAATCCAGTCGAAAAGGACATCGTTTCCAAGCATGTGAAAGGACAAGTACACAGAAGGTGGTCAACCGTTTCCACCTCAACTGCACAAATAGACAGAATGAGACCTCGGGCATCCCACGGATATCTAGCAGCTCATTCGCTGAGATTCTCTCATGAAGGCTCTGGCATAAAAAATAATTGAGTTTTCCTAAGAGCTCGGATTGTCCAAACCTTACGCCACATGAGACCTTTCCCCGCATCAAAACTACTCCCTTCCTCGGGGTAGGTAAAAGATTTTTGGTTCATAAGAGAAATTGCCACGTAATATGCACTCTTCGTTGAGAAACGACCATTATTTGATGCACCCAAAATCTTGCAATCTAATCTTCCCGCTGTACTGCGAGGGATTTATAAAATGAAATAACAGTCACGTCGATTAAAGGTTCGGCAAACCAACTCTAGATTTCATTTGTGTACATCATGGAGAATTAAACCAGCCATTGATGAAAAAGGGGCACCATTTTATTTGGAAAGGACCGATTGATTATGGCTCTGATGTGAATTGTCCTTCTAACAATTCATAGTAGAGCCATCCCCAATACTCCATCCCATACCTCTCTTATGATTAAAAACAGTGGAGAAAACAAAATTAATAGTAAATGTACGAATTCCTAATTGATGTGTATGTCTGTTTAAATCTTTTCCTCTTCTCAGCCAACAAAGTAAATTTCATTGACTTCTAGAATGATACAATCATTTCTGCCAGTTATATATATTATTAAAATTGTATAAAATATAATACGTAACCATTCACCTAAAAAGCTAAATAATAAAGAAAATAAATACAAATTACATTATATAACATTTCCGTTGTTCCAATTTGATTTGTAGCCACAAACCACCTCCAAGACAAAAAGAAAAAACAAACACAAAAAAAGAAAAAAATAAGAAGAATTCATAAATGAATATATATATATATATATATATATATATATATTGAATGGTAAGAATTCATAAATGTATGCTTTCACCCTATTATCATAATAAGACAAACAACAGCAGGCGGGACGCGGGAATACGAATCCAAAAATAGGAAGAGATTAACTCAAAATTAAGCAAAATCATAATCGGTTACGGTTAGTTTTGAAACAACGAACCCAAACACCCTTATTTACCTTTATTTCCTTTCCATTTTCCCAATCTTTCCCGAGAAACAAGCATTTCATCACCATCACCACTTTCGCGTCTGAAAAGTTTCTGATAGATCGATCTGAGTCCCCCATAAACCCTCGAATTTCTTCACATTTCTAGATCTGCAATCTCCGTAGTTTTGTTGTATCGAGATCTCAAGCCTCTGGAGTTGTTCAAAGGTTCGTACTTTTACCTACATTGCTTTCTTATACCTTATCCAATATTATACACACATATATGTAAATCTAGGGTTTTGTTTCCTTTGGATTTTTTTTGAACGTTTCCATTGTTGTTGCTCATTTGCAATGGTCAGGGGGCTTGAGTTCCAAATTATCAATATTTCGATTTTGCTTTGGAGGTGAGAGCACTCCCAATTTACCTAACTTTTGGTTCTTGTTGCTTCCGTAGTTTTATCAAGTGTATATGCAGCTACTTCTCAGTTGTAGATTACAATTTACATACCTTTTTTTACTTAAGTTGTTGATACTTTATGTTCAAAAAAATAAAAAATAAAAAATAAAAGTTTGTTGAATTTCCGGGGGAAAAAAAAAAAATCAAAGCTTGATGAATAGTTGTGTTTTCTTACTGGTCTGGCAGTGCCAAAATTTCAGGCCTTATAATAATTTGTTGTTTGGGTTGTTGCCTTTCAATTTACTCATTAGTTTAGTTTCTATCTTTATGTTCGATTAAAGATTTTTTTTTTTTTTTTCTCTTATATATTTATTTATTTTTAACTACTACAGCTCTAGGACAATATGCTTGAATAGTATTTTATATATACTTCAAAAGAGTGGAAGTTTTAATTTTTTTTTTTTTTTAATTTTCTGTTGGAAGATATACCAAATGTAGATGATATGATATCTTGTGCCTTGAACTTTTCTATATAAGCCATGAATGTAATAGCAAGGTGAAGCTCTTTTGAGTATGAGATTCCAAAATGAGCAGCAGGACATGCATATTATTCAACTAGTCAAAGCTGTAAATATTAACTAATTGCTGCAAAGTAAATGGATTCTTCTGGCTATCTAGCACCCTGTGTGGCCATATCTTTTTTGGTCTGACAATCTCTCTCTAATATTTTTCCCTTTTTTTTGCTTTGATCAATTTTCTCTTTACGAATTTTTTTGCCTTGGTAACATCATCAATTTGATTTAGACTTTTGCATTTTCCGGTTTTTTTTTGCATTTTCATGTTTCTTCTACACGAGTGTCATAAATTGATCCTTTTTTGAAGGCCTTCAGCAATCAAATTTGAAATTAAGAACCCTGATATTTGCCTTCTCAACATTGTTCAGTAAGGCGTTAGCTTTGCAGATACAATGCGGGGGAGCATTCAATGGAATCAATGCTAGGAATCCGATATGTACCAACCCAACACCCACACAACACTCATGTTATATAAGGAAACTAGTTAACTTCTAGGAATTACTTGATGCTTTTCATGTTCTATAATGTTTATGCTTATGACTTGTGAGATTAACTATGCTTTATTACTGAAACATTTATCCTTGTCAAAATTTATGCATATCTGGGGCAATATCTGCAATTAGTAATTTTTTTTCTCTCTTTTTCCTTTGAGTTGAACTCTGGAATAAAGAACTGGCAGGGAATTGTTTTCTCGTATCACTGTTTCTGAACTTGTTCTAATGAAATGGAGTGTCTAGCAGGTTCTCATTATGAATCTGCACTCAGAAGTGCATGCAAGTGAAAATGGGGAACCTAACAGCTTTAATGGAGTCTCAAATGGCGTTTTTGCTGAAGAAACAGAGAGTTTTAAAGGCTCAATCGAAGGTATAAAACTTGATTCTTGGTTGAGGTAGAACTTGAACATGTGTCAACCTTAAACTTGGATGGATTTCATCCCAAATTCTATGAAGGGGTCCATAAGTGGTACTGAGAAATGGTTGTCTGGACTCTGGAGTAAAGATCGTTCGGATAGAAGAAGTCAAACTGGTCGATTGACGACTTTAAGCCATTACTGGCGAAGTGCTATTTCACGAGGAGTTCCTAAGTGTATATTTGTAAGACATGTAAAAGAAAGGTGTAATTTGTAGACCATATATCATCTCATTGACAATTCATAGAATAGAATATCATGAATTGCATTCCTCTATTCACAACACATACAAAATGGGGCAATTGTTTGAGTTTTTCTCACATCAATGGTGCTCAGAGAAGTTTATGCTTGAGATGTTTCTCATAAAGTACTTAGCTTAAACAAGCTACATGTTATCCGTGATTCACCTGATTAGAAATCGTTTAGTTGTATCACATTGTAAGTTTCACAAACTCTTTGGACTTTGGAGTGACCACACGTTTTGAGTGACATCTTTTTTTTTTTTGAAGTTTGACATTAAATCTTAAAACCTTGCTTATTAATAGTAAAAGTGCAATATGATATGATTATGCTACATTCACTTCTTTAAGTCTTTTATATTAGTGCTCATAATACTTGTCTTGTGGTGATTCTGGTAAACAGGCCTGTGATCTTTAAAATTTCAAATGCTTTGCATATATATGACTTATGCTGATGTGAGACAACGAATTCCCAGTGGTTGGAACTAAGTGTTGCATATGTGGCTATCTGGTTATGTCAGTATAAGATGCCTTTACTTTGTCTTTGTTTTAGGGTATCTATCTCTGATGAATTAAGAGTAGATACAAATAGGAGGAAGTGAGGTTCCCTTAAGTTGCCCAAATTTTACATATCTACACACATATATTTATATTTCCAGTAAATTTCTTTTTCCTTTTAAATTTATCTTTTTGTAAACCCTGTTGCAGAACCATTGGCTGCCTCAATTCTTAAGTTCAATGACATATTCCAATTGAAGCAAGGATTTTGTGCTGATCTTCCTGCTTTTAAGATATCTGAATTGATGAAACTAAACAGTTTAGAGGTACTGCTTGTTCTCTTTGCTCATTAATTTTAAGTTAGATATGTTATGCCATTTGGTTTGATTTGCTCTTATGCTTTTAAGAAACTCTACGCAGAATGCCTCGACTCGGTCACTTTTCAGCATTGTGAATAGGATCCTGGATGACAGCATTGAACGAAATAATGGGGACTTATCTAGTGTATGCATTTTTAGAGAGCATGGATGCTAAATCACTGAAGCACACATGCATTGATACATTGTTTTCTTTTCTTCTTTTTACTGATATTGTGTGCACTATATTTGATGTATTAATTCTTGCTTAGCATGTGGCATCCCTGTTGAAAAAAGTTGTACAAGAGATGGAGCAGCGGATTTCAGCTCAAGCAGCAAATTTTAAAAATGTAAAATGACTTTAAATTAATTTCCTGGAGCAAACTCTTGTTTACAGTTTCTGAATGTCTTTACATTTCTGTAGCAAAACAATCTTGGTAAGGCTCGTGAAGAGAAATATGAATCAAGAATAAGAGCACTCGAAACCCTTGCAGCTGGGGCTACTGAAGAGATTGAGGTACTCTGACTAATAGATATGGATCCTCACCTAGTCTTCTGCTGGAGTTTCTTATTCAATCGTTTGATATGAAATTTGGTCTTACTTTTTCCAGGTATCTATGAACCAGCTCCAGCAGATAAAGGTGCAATTCTTATGTTTGAGCCTGATTTCTAATTCCGGAATTATTGCAACATGTTTCTTGCTATTGATCCTCAATTTTGAATAGCATGTTCTTGTTCCATGTTCTAATAATCCTCTGTGCACTGCTCAGTAACTATTATCACACATAATCTTTCTTTCTTCTTCTTCTTTTTCTCCTCTCTCTCTCCCTCTCTTTTCTTTTCTTTCTCCTTTTTTTTTTTTTATTATTTATCTTTAGAATTTGAATTAGTTCATTATATTCATTGTTGGATGACCATTGTTCATAGTAAACTTAGACTGGTCTACAGGCCCTATACCGTGACCAATATATATATATATTTGACCGACTCTTGGCGCTAACAATGAGCCTACCATGGGCTAGCAAAATCAATTTGGGCCCCAGAAGGACCTGGGCTAGCCTATTCTGTCAACAATGGTGCTGGCCCATATATAAAACAAAGTCCATTTATAAATTTCTTTATCAAGGTTTAGCAAAATGAACTAAATTCCTTACCTCACCCACCAAAAAAAAAAAAAAAAAAAAAAAAAAAAAACAAGGAACTGGCTTCTGGCTTCTATTGTATCATGTTCTATCATACGATAATATCTAGTTTTGCCACATTTGATCTTTAATGAACTTGAATTGTTTTGGATTCATTTGTAGTATTTACAACATCTTAATTTAATGTTGTGTAAAAAATATGACGAGTAATGCTAACTTTATTAAATCAAATGAAGAAAGCCCATGTCATGTACACATGAGGTACACACAAATGTACAAAGACTCACAAAAGGGGGCAAACCCCAAAGTTAAAAAGCCCGTAGAGGACCATGGAGTAACTCTACTCTCCAAATGCCTTCAGGGGAGAACTTTCCACATTATATAATATATTCAATTTTACTGTCCAAATTTGATTGTTTTAAATCGTGGAATGCGTGTTTTATCACCATAAAGGACACACCATAAACAAATAATGCTAGTCCTCCGTGTTTCTTTAAATTGTGCATTGTTTTGGTGTCTTGCAAGTTGTAACAAAACGTCTTGGTTTTGCTACATTAATCTTATTTTATGCGTCTTTATGCTGATTATCAGTCGGTCCTGCAGTCATTTGTCTCCTCGCTTGTTGTTTGGTAACATCTATTCTTGTTATAAAGAATTGCTTAACAACTAGTGGACATACAGTGGGGGACTTAGAAGACATCATATGAACTCTATCCTATCGATTCATGATGTAACCTAGACGATACCTTTAGTTATTGGGCTATTAGCTTTATGCTAATTAATTGCTTATTCTAATAGGTGTAACTGTTACCACATAATAGCAGTAAAAAGATAACCTACTGGTTGCTTATGAGATACTACTTCTTATGTTGCAGCTAATTCTTTTTTTTTTCGATAACCGGGGTGCCCGGGGCTATTGCAGCTATTATTTGTTGTTAACGTTGTTTCAGATTGAGAAGACCAAAATTGAGGAGAAAAAGAAACTTGAAGAGCAAGATGCTTTTAGGTTAATGAAAGAGAAGGATCAGTATGAGACTCAGATTTTGGCTTTAAAGCAAGAGCTGGAATCAGCCAGAAGGACATACGAAAACCATTGCATACAACTGGATAAAGAGGCTACGGAAACCAAAGTTGAGTTAGAGAAGAAGTTAACGGAATTTGAGTGCCTTCTGACTGATTCAAGGAAGGAGGTGAAAGAAATTGAGGCATTTTCAGAATCTAAATCTCTGAGATGGAAAAATAAAGAGCTCAGCTACAAGAGCTTTATAGATTTTCAATTTGGATCTCTACAGGTTTGGAAGAATTTTCATGTTTTAACTTCAGTGTTCTTTTATGCTTGGTCTATGACATGAACTTATGAAACTGCTTAGGATTTAAGGGTGGCTTCTGAATCCATAAAGCAAGAGGTTTTGAGGACACAGAGGATATACTCCGAAGAATTTAATCACTTGGGTAGGAATTTTGGCTTACAACAGGCTTCTTCTTCTTTTATTTTTATTTATAAATAATAATGTTGAAATTTGTTTACTTTTGATGGGTTTGGCATTTTCTGATGACGAATACATTTTTTTGGGATCAGAGCTGAAGCTTAAGGGACTAATAGATGCTGCTGAGAATTACCATAAGGTCCTTGCAGAAAATCGGAAATTATACAATGAGGTTCAGGATTTGAAAGGTACTATGATTAGCACAATATTGCTTGGTTGCTTAGGTTATATCGCTTATAGCTCATCTTGTTCTTTTTCTTTATTGTGTAGGAAATATTAGAGTTTACTGCCGAATAAGGCCATTCCTTCCGGGACAAAGTGGAAAGCCAACAACCATTGAATATATTGGTGAGAATGGGGACTTGATTGTTGCAAATCTTTCAAAACAAGGAAAAGACAGCCATAGGCTATTCAAATTTAACAAGGTGTTTGGTCCAGCAGCCTCTCAAGGTTTTAATATTTTTGACTTGATATTTGTTTTTTGATGCTATGAGTTTACTTTTGATTGCTGCTTGAGAAGTTGCTTCTATTTGGAATACAATTCTGAATACTTTTATTTCGTTTATATCATATGGTGGCAGAGGATGTATTTGTAGACACTCAACCATTAATCCGGTCTGTTCTTGATGGATACAATGTTTGCATCTTTGCTTATGGTCAAACTGGTTCCGGGAAAACTTATACAATGGTAGATGTCATTCTCTGTAATTTTATGTGATAAATATATTAGCATTTTTGAAAATTATATCTACATTTTTATGTTTTCTCCCAGACTGGGCCTAGTGTATCATTGAAAAAGGATTGGGGGGTGAACTATCGAGCTCTCAATGATCTTTTCCATAGCTCTCAGATCAGGAAAAGCTCCACTACATATGAAGTTGGTGTTCAAATGGTTGAGATATATAATGAACAAGTGCGTGATTTACTCTCCAGTGACAGTTCTCAGAGAAGATATCCTTTCTTCAATTTTATTCCTTTGATTTTTTTACATTTTACTGTTTTATTCTTGGGGACTTCTCTCATATAAGGGATTGTAACTGGGTATTATGAAACGGAGCACCCTCATCCCAACTCCCCTGGCAAGAATTGCCCTTGCCCAGACCCCACCCAATAGCTATGATATGTTTCAGAATTCAGATGTTCATCCTATCCCCTGATCACAAATAAACTCTTTAAATCCATGGCAGCCTCACCCCCACCTTCAAGCACTTACCTCACCACTAAGCATTACTTTTTCCCTTATCTTTTGTTTTCCTCAACTTCCTCCACCACCAAACATAATTAATGATCAGCACCCAGAATGCGTGTGTGCAAAAAAAAAAAAAAAAAAAAAAAAAAATCATCGAGAGAACTGACATATTCCTAAACATATTTGATATACAGGCAAAAGTACAGTACATACATGCATAACAAGTGAAGAAGCCTTTAGAATTGTTTGATAATTTCATAGTTCAAGAGGGAAAAAAATGCAAAAACCTAATCTCTAAAGTGGGTTCAGATAGCGAGCATAGCAGACGGCGGTTATTGTATAGCCTGCTTTCATACTGTTAGAGCATTTCCCTTCCCCCACAGCGGGGGTTTCAGGGTTTATTGTCTGGGGTGAACGAAGTGAACCTAAATGGCCTTCTTTTTATCAGCGGTAATACCAGTAGGAGCGGGTGGCGCTAGTCATGAACGGAGTTCCTTTCTCTTCTTTTTATATCAGTATACCACACTACCTGGGGGATTGGGATGGAAGGATGGGATATGGTAACCTATAGGGGCAGCAACAACATGGCTTGGACAGTCATGTTATCAGCATTGACAACTGCTCTGAAACTCTTTTGAGGGGGAGAGTGGTGGGGGTTTGGATGGGAGTGGATTTGTACAGAATCCTAAATGAGTTTTATATAAGATAGAGTATTTGAGGTATTTGAAAAGCTATCAGTGAGAGTTTAGTAAAATAGCTGTATATTGACGTGCATTCTATTAATACAACTGAGATTGTTTCTAGCATTCTAGTAGTAAATCCGAGATTGTATCTAGTCGACTCCTCCTAACATCCTCGACTAATGGCAATCACACGGAGTAATCATTATCCATCAACTGTATAATCAGGCTGGAACAAGGAAAAATCCTTAACCATGCCCCGTCCTAGACCCAAGTTGAGTGCTTCACCTTTTCTCCAAACACCTTACCCACTTAGATCCCTAGCTTGTCCCAGTAGGGGCCATGTTATTGACTTTATTGATATTGCTGTTTTCCTTTTCCCTGCTATGACAGTTGGGATGTTAACTTTATGACTTGATTAAATGATACCTTTTGCAGGCTAATTCATATTTATCAATATCATTTTCACCTTTCTCTCTTTTTTGGATGAAATTTTCATCTTTCTTTCTTCTGTGTTATTTTTCATTTTTCTTTTTACCTGTATTTTTTTCCTAAGGTATACAGGTATTCTTGCTCCCATATTCTTATTTCCCTGAATGATATGTGCTAAGCTGCTTATTCTTTCTGCATTTAGTTAGATATAAGTTATTATTTCCTTCTACCGTGTTTTTGGTATTGAAAGATATTGTTTCCTTTGACTTGCACACACTTGGGATTTGGAATACTGCCCAACCAAATGGGTTAGCTGTTCCTGATGCTAGCATGCACCCTGTTAAATCAACCAAAGATGTCTTGGAATTAATGAATATTGGGTTAATGAATAGGGCTGTCGGTGCTACTGCACTGAATGAAAGAAGCAGTCGATCCCACAGGTTTCTCTTTGATATTATTAACTTGGTTTATTTTGCTACTCTTTGATCATTGTTGTAATGTTGTTTCTGAGGTATGACCCATTAGTCATATGGTGCAGTATTCTCACTGTTCATGTTCGTGGCATGGATTTAGAGACTAATGCTGTTTTGCGAGGATGTCTACACTTGGTAGATCTTGCTGGCAGTGAAAGAGTTGATCGATCTGAAGCAACAGGGGATAGGCTACGGGAAGCACAATATATTAACAAATCGTTGTCGGCTCTCGGAGATGTGATCTTTGCTTTAGCACACAAGAGTCCTCATGTTCCATACAGAAATAGCAAACTAACTCAAGTTCTGCAAAGCTCTTTGGGTACCTTTTATTTTCTCTATTTGCTGTTTCTGTTGTGATCACACTTCTTAAGTTTTTTTCGTTTAACACAAAATGATAACATTTTCTTTTAGAGATTTGCTTGATCCTTGTTTTTCCTCTCTGCGTATTCGTGTGTACATTATAGGTGGCCAAGCAAAAACCCTTATGTTCGTACAGCTCAATCCTGATGTAGATTCTTACAACGAAACTATAAGTACCTTGAAGTTTGCTGAAAGGGTCTCTGGTGTTGAGCTAGGTGCTGCACGTAGCAACAAAGAGGGAAGGGGTGTAAGAGAGCTGATTGAAGAGGTATGTGTTATTATCTTTTCCATGTTCAAATTTAATGGTCTGGAACCCGCATTTATATTATTTTAAGTTCTAACTTTTATTCTCAGTAAATTTCCTTCACAGATGTGTTCAAATCCACAAGTATGTTATGAATATTACAAGTTCATGGATCATGTTCACTATTATTACTGAAAATTACGATTAAATGCAAAAAACACTCCCGTAATATAAATATTGTGCATATAACACCCCAAACTACGTTTATTATATATAACTACCTTTTTATTTTTGAAAATTTGCATTTGGATGCCTTCCATCCTTTAGCTGTTACCATTGTGTCATTACAATTATAAGTGGGTCACCCAAGTGATTCCCTTTTGTTGTAAAACCCCAAAAATACCCTGTTCCAGAAATGCATGACGACCATTTAGTGTGTGTATATATAACTTCTCTTTCCCCTCTCTCCCTCCAAGCTCTCTCTTTCTCTCTCTCCAATATCTCCCCCTCAATGCTCTCTCTGCCCCACTCCCCCCTCCCGTGTCTCTCTCTCTCTTCAAGTTCGGTCGTTGAAACGGTTATAAGTTTGTTTGAATTAAAGGATTTTTTATAGGGCTAGGCAAATGATACTTTGAATGGAGTCGAGTGGGTGTGAATTGAGCGTTGTGACTTATGCAAAGGAATTAATGAATGGGATGGTATTTAGGATTTATATAGACCGTAATTTCAGAATGGAGTTTGTTCCAAGTGAGCCTGTTGTCTCCTGTCTTTTTGAGTAGCTGAGGCCTAAGGAAGAAGGCTAATGTAGTGGATGCTTATGATTTGGTACCAAGGTGGAGTAGCTTGGAGCATTTCCAAATTTCTGTTTACAGTTCATTTATCAATTCTTTGTGCAAAGAAGGCAAATTGGAGGAAGCTGAATCACTTTTCACAAGCATGTAGAAACAGGGTTTGTTCCCCAATGATGTTACATATTCTGTTTTGATTGATTCATTATGCTAAAGGGGGAAAGTGGGATGTCACATTTCTTTTTCTTTGTAAAAGAAAATGACCAAGAAACAGTATTTCCCTACAATTCTCTGACAAGTGGGCACTGCAAGTTTGGTAAATTGAGTATGGTAGAGGCTCTCTTTCACTTAAAAGTGGATACTGCAAGGAAGGAGAGGTGCACAAGGCATTTAGGCTCTATCATGAGATGATTGGGAAGGGCATTTGATTGTGCTTACCGAGTGTGTGTGTGTGTGTTTGGGGGGGGGGGGGGGGGGGTGGAGAGAGGGAAAATGATATATAAAACACATAGATCGTGAAAATGGGGAGTCAACACCAAGGGATGTAGCCTAGTGGTACTTCCTCAACTACCAAAGTAGAAGGTCGAGTGTTCAAGTCCACACAGGGGCAAAGTGGGTGTGTGAGTTTCTAATACAGGAAAAAAATGGGGAGTCAGTGTATTGCATATGTCCATTTAGTCTTTTCGGGGTATTTATGTAATTCAAATTATCTGTTGAAGTTGTCAATTGTACTGATTCTTTATTCTGGGGGTGTTCTCCAAATGGGAGGGGGTTACATGCATTGTATGTATATTACATGAGTGATTTTGCAAGCAATCCCAGAAAATTATAAATTATTAAAATTGTTGTGCGTGCGAGATAATTGGTGAAGCATATCATAATAATCATATAGAAGTAATACATTCATACTTATTTTCTTTGTAAAATTGTATGTAATTTATGTATACATATAACAGTTATATTTGGTTGGAAACACTTGATAAATAATCTGATATAGAAGAAACTTATTTCAATCTATCATATATTGGTCATCAGTGAAATATAATTGAAGTTGAATGTGGCTACGGAGGATCAAAGCCTTGGCTCAAATGGTATGTTCTTCACCTCCTCAAAAGGGAGGTTGAGTGTTCAAGCCCCAGTGGGGGCATGTGTAAGCATAATTACCTATAAAAATAAAAAGAAAAGAAAAAAAACTGTGGCTGTGGAATTGTAGACCACTTGAAACTTTGAAATCAATTTTTAATATGCAAATAAAATGTTATATAAAATAATGTCTACTACATCGTCTACAGTTTGCTTATATCCTAGTTTTAAAGCCCTAAACATGCCAAAAAACTTCAGTTGTTGCTTCAAATTTTAAAATGTCGAACCAATATATATGCATGTGAAAACTTATGAGACTAAAGTTGAGGAAGCAATTTATCTTTAGTTGACTACTTGATGGTGTCTGTTCAACCAGTTTCACAGATTACATTACTAAAAATAAACATTAAGGAACTAAGAATAAACTTTGAGTATAACTATGAAGTTGTTTAATCTGTCTGGATGAAATGGAATTTGATTGATGTGACTGATTAAAAAGCTCATAGCTTCATTTAAATGCAGAATTTTTTTTTTTTGTTGGTGCTCATGCAATAAAAAGTGAGAGATGATTTTTGCACTGTTCTAGACTAGCATGTGCAAAGAAGGAAGTTGAAGAAAATAGTTTAACGTAGTAATTTGGAATAGAGCAACAATCCCAGGTAAAGAGATAAGTTGGTAGACACTGGTTAGATTGTGGGTTAATCTAGCCTATGCCTACAAGAAACTAAAGGTTCTTTAAAATTGTCTCTCAAACTGAACCAAGCGTTTATTTGCAAAAACATAAAAAGATAAAATGAATTTGGAAGGTTCAGAGTTCACTTGGGATTTGGAAACTATCCGACTGATATACTTGATCGCTCCTCAATTTTAGTTGTATTGGTTCATACCTTTTGGTCAATGCTCTATGAGTAGGACATAAGCTTAATAGATCGAATTATGCTGCTTGATTCTCAATTTCCGACTGTACTTCCAAACTATTTATTTAATGAAATTATCTTAATTTTCTTAATTAATGGGTCAACCTATGCCAAGTACGAGCCAATTAATCTAATGATTAACCAACCTAAATCCTGTGGCCTCTAAGTCAATTTTGAACCTAACGTATGTAATTAAAGCAGTCTAGATTGTCTTCCCAACTGTGAATTTAGCAACACCTTCTATCATCTTGCAATAATGATGAAGCTGTCAGTCAAGTGACACAAAAACCTAATTCGTCCTAGTGAACTCCATTTTCTCAAAGAAACATGCCAACATTTGTTTCTGGTGGGAACAGTGGAAGTGTAACGAACATGGAGATACAACGAAAGACGGAATAGAGCAATCACGCACAAAGCACAAGATTTACAAGGTTCACCCAAAACCTGAGCTACGTCCACGGATGAGAAGAGATCCACCGTGAATATGTAGAGATATTACAATAGTAGAGAATTTTCGACACAGGACCATGTACACAAACTCTTGCCGCAGTTCTTCTCTGTATACTCCACGAGACTCCCTCTCATCTTCACTTTACTATACCCATAACTCACCTCTACCCATAAACTCCCTCATGAAGCTACATCCCTCCTCATAACTCTCAAAAATAACCTTGGTATCTATTTATAGAGTCCAACAAGGATTACAATTCCTTGGAGCCCAAGACCTGCCTAACAAGAAATTACCTAATACATTAATACTCTAAAATAAATAACTAATTAGAATAGAATTTGAGACACAATTCTTAACAGTTTCAATGTCCTAACAAATTCTATTTCTGATTTTCTGTTAATCTTGCAGGTGGCAACCTTAAAAGATGCAATTGCTAAGAAAGATGAGGAGATTGAGCAGTTGCGGCTGGTTAAAAATAGAGTAAATGGAGTCAGACATAGCTTGACCTCTCCAAGATATGGGTCTACTTCTCCAAGGAGACATTCCATAGGGGCTCTACAGCAAAACCGAAAACTGTCAGGAGGGAAATCAGGTCTTATTGAGAAGACAGCTTCTGACAATGGTTCGGAGTACAGTGATAAGCATTCTGAATCTGGCTCTCAGCAATCAGTGGATGACATTGGACACCACAAGGAATTTTTTCGACAATCGAGGCTTGCTGTAGCAGATAGAGGTCAAAGTTTTCCAGTGGACATCGAATCAAGGCTTAATATAGTAGATGGGGCTCAAAATTGCACTGAAGACATTGAACTCCTTGGATTTGGGATTGCAGATTCTGAAGAGAGATTAAGTGACATATCTGATAGTGGTCTTTCAATGGGAACAGAAACTGACGGTTCAATGAACAGTATTGTGGAGTATACTCTTTTCCCTGAAACTGCAAAACAAACAGTGGAGAACGCAGAGAGGTGAGCTTCTCATATACTTGAGCTTTTCAGTCATTTTCTTTTGTTTTGGGTATGTACAGAGAAAATAAGAATAGTTACACTTCAGATATCCAACCTTTGCATTTTTAATGCAATATGTAATCTGTTGCAAACTCACTGAAAATTTGCTATTTTCTCCAAAATACAGTATGTGTGCTGCTGTTACTGCAGCATGAAAAATTGAAAATTCTCCATTCCTATAAAATACTAGTTTTTTATTCTCTGTTTTATTTGCTTTGAATGGATTATGAAACTCAAGTGTTTCCCACTCATTTGGGGAATGGCCTAGAGGCCCTCTGTTCTCAAGTATGATAATTGAAGGGAACCTACTCGTCAATCTTCCTTTTTTGGGTTAATAATCAGTTTTCTATTGTATTAGAAATTTTGGTCAAAGCTTCTTGGTTTTGTAGTTTTGCATTTGTGTGTCTGTATGATTTTCTTTTATTCGGAAAGTTGGATCCGTCACTTTATTTTGCTGCATGATAAACTGCTATGATTAAATAGATCTAAGTCTGTTCTTTGATTTGTTTGGTTGATTGCAGGCCGGATTTACGAACCAAACTTCCCAAGCCCGCACAGAAGAAGGTGCAAGCCAGATCCCAGTTGTCGTCAAGCAAGACCTCGAAAGTTTCAACAAGTATGTGAAACTAAGTAGCTTTTTGGGTTAATCTGTTTGTTTCTACTTGCAACACATTTTGCATACTTTTTTCGTTTGAATAAATGTGTCAATATATCTTTGGTTGACACTCGATCCAAGTTTTTCATTTTCTGAAATTGGGAAATTCATCTGCAAGTCTAAGTTGTTTTCTGGTTCTTGTGAAATCAAAATCTGTAATTGGCTAGGATAATGACAGAAACACATGAAATAATACTTGTGTAGTTACTTTTTACAGCCAAAGGAGACTTTAACTGTTTCCTCGAGTCATTAATGGAACACATCCCTATTTTTCTGAAGTGGCATTTGCTACTGTTGCATGCATCAATTCATCATTACTAGTTTAATCATCTCTAATCTTTCTTTTTCTTTTCATTTGTTCGAATGATTCGCAGGTTCTAAAAAACCCACTGCTGGCAGCTCATCTTCAATCCGGCCCGTCAAACGACGGCAGTAGTTAGATGGGAACTTGGATGGTGAAACTCACAATGCTGCTTTTGTTGTAACTTTGTGTTCTGGCATTCCTTGCCTTTTCCCTGTATGTGACCTTCCATTCAGAGGAGAGTTATTTGGAACCATCATTCTGTATTTATATGTGTTTTAGATCATAGTGCAATTTATGTATGATGGGTATTACAATTTCGTCCACGTTTGTACATCAACAGTTGTTTTAGAGCAGTTTTAGCCAAAGAATGTACTTTGTTGTCGCATTTAAAATGACCCATCTCTGTTATATTGTTAAGTACTTGGTTTTATTGGCAAGAAGGCAAAAATATGCAAAAAAATATCTTCGATAACTAATAACCATCCATTAACATACCAATAAAAATACTAAAAACTTTTCAAGGCCGATCTATTATCAATCATATTCATAAAAACATATAATAAAATCATTCAAATAATTGTAGAACTCAAAATCTAATTTGTTAAGGGTATAAGTGGAAAGTTCAATGGTCTAGAACTTAAATGAAAAAAAATTTCAAAAGTGAAATTTATTTTTCATAAGAAAGATTTATAGGACTTATTGCAAGAAAAGGTAGGATTTAGTGGTAGTTTTATCTAAAAAAAAAATATTGGTGCCGGCAAGCTCTGGTCTTAGGAAACACCCCAGGGCTGAAATATCTTGGACATTTGAGATTAGGGTTGAGTTTACATTAACTAGGTCAAACGCAACCGTGTTCTAATTTATTTCTTCTAGGTAATCTTTGTTTGGATTTGGTGGGTGGAGGTTTAGGATAGTATATAAAAATTGGAATTATGACATTATGTAGTTAACAGAGTGTTCAGTTCTCTGTATGGGTGTGCCCGTGTTCGAATTCCTTTCCCTTTAATTTGTGAAAGAAAAATGTATGCATGTATTCATATTTAGTACAAAAGGCAACTTATTATATGAAATATACAAGTTGCATAACCTTTTCATAAATTTGAGATATATTAAAAAATAAAATAAAAATCCCCCTTTTGTCTACATATAAGTTTAGAGCCCAATAACCACAATATTAGTACAAGGTAACTGATAGCAGTTACTATCATTTATAGTGTCTAAAGAAATTATAGGGAATACCATACACAATAATGGTCAATTTGGTACAACGATCAATTCTCCAAACAAATGTGTCCATGGGGCCACTTTCCCTAATTTATCATTAAAAAAAAAAAAAAAATTCCAATTTGTAGACTGTTTAGAGCAAACTTTGTACTATTGCATCATATATTTAAGAGCGAATTGCAAAAAGCCCCCTTAATTTTCACCCGTTAGCAAAAAACACTCCCTTTAAGAATTATTTTAGCAAACAATCCCCCTCAACTATCATAAGGGGGATTGGTCACCACCACCGTCAAGGCACGTCTTTACCACGTCGTCTTCTCCAACCATCTTCAGTCCCCGGAAACGACCCTCGCCAATTAAGTTGATGAACTACTCTGGACCAAATAATTTGAAACCAGTGGCCTTTGAAATTAGTGTCAAATCATAGAATAAAAAATCACACCCAAACCAATTGCTGGAACCCATAAAAATTATGTAAAGCTATGATATTCATTCATATCTTTGTTGGTGCTTGCAAATTTTCTGATACACTGATCTAAATTATGAAAACTCAATGAACTAAATCAGTTAACGAAAAAACTAGAAATAAAAATCAATCAAACAGTCAGGTAAAATAAAACAAAAAAATTGAAGGGGAATGCACATTCCATTTCCAAAAAAATTCAAAACCCATTACCACAATTGAATAGAATTACAAAATATATAGACACTAAGAAAAAAAAAAAAAATAGAGAGAAATTCGGACATACGATCAGCAGCGGAGGTTTTGAGTTGTTCGAGAGCAAAGAGGCTGGAAGAAGAAGCCGTGTTGGTGTCGATCTTGTCAGAGGTCTGAAGCGATACATCAGAAGCAACCTCAGACCTGACAGTGGGGTTGAAAGAAGCCCACCCTCTTTGAATTAGGGTTCTTCTGGTCCGAGTGGGTTTGCAGAACACCCCATTTTGAGACGGCGATGACCTCGTTGAGGAAGTGTTGCCGAGGAGGAGAGTCTCGAGCTTGGCCCCTGCAAACGCACTTGAAACTGCCATATCCAGAAATGCTATCAAAACCATAAGACAAGGTTTCTAGAGAGAGAATTTTGAGGAGAGAGAGAGGATGGGAGGAGGGAAGAGAAGGGTTTATGGGGATCGGGGTGTTCTGAGAGGATGGTTTGATCTTTGGAACGACTCAAAAGGAGGTGTGCTGTGTGATTGGTTTTATTTTTAGTTATTATTGTTTGGGTGAAGAGAGCTTGGAGAAGACTACGTGGTAAAGACGCACATTTACGGGGGTGGTGACCAATTGACTGCTTAAGGGTATTTTCGTCCAAAACATATTTCTTTAAATTGCCAGTTAAAATACCCCTCATGATGTTTGAGGAGTGTTTTTTTTAAAAAATAATTTATAAGAGGTGTTTTTTTTGGGTAAAGGTTGGAAGTCAGGGAGATTTTTTTACAATTCACCTTATATTTTTAATTATCTTAAGTTTGTTATTCAAGTTAGAAATCATAAATTTAATTATCTTAAATTTGTTATTTAAGTTAGAAAAAGACCAAAAAAAAAAAAAACAAAAAAAAGAAAAAAGAAAAGAAAAGAAAAGAAAAAGAAAACGAAAAAAAGCAAGAAATGTATTTAGCTAGCAGGAGAGTACAGTTATCTTCTCCCTGTTTCAACCACTTTGAAATTGATTTATACCCAGCAAAAACTCAGAATTTGTAAGGACAGTCATTCACAAAATTGAATTCGATTTTCAGAAAAGAAAAACATGTCAATTCTTCTGTTGAGAATTTGTTAATCCGACTTGAGTTTTCTTCTATTGAGAATTTGTTGATCTGACTTGACTTGCAAGATGTAGCCATTGAAAGAGCTAATGTTTGATTAGAGCAAACAAAGTATTCTTGGATATTTAAACACAACAACCTGTCCAGACTAATCAAGCATTCAAAGTTTAAAAAAACAAAAAGATAAAAGATAAGAGCAGTGTATGCATAGTGAAAGTGAGAAGCAACATTCCTTCATTGAAAGCAGTGAAAATTAACCAACAGTTCATTGATAGACATGTATTTTAAAGTTGGGTGTTTGAAATGAGCCCGCTGTGTTTTTGATGAAATGCCTAAATGGAATTTGGTTTCTTGGAATTGCATAGTTTCAGGATATGCATTGAATGGTCTTCCAAAAGATTCATTGGAGGTCTGTAGTTTGATGAGATTTAAAGCGATGGGATTAGATGAAGTGACAAAAAAACAAAAATGTAGCCCAAATTCAGCACCCCAATGTGCTATTTTCAGAAGGAGATGGACTCTGTTTCTGATGCCTTTTTCCTTCCAATAATGGGAGCTCCATTTGATTTAGTGATGACCAGTTTGCAGTGCAAATGAAGAATCCACATTTCGATTGGAGATTTTGCGAGATTGGGGACGTGAATTGCCACTCAAAAAACCAGTGTCAGTGGCTCTCTGGTTCTGATACGCATATTAATGGGAATGCATTTGGCCAATGGAGGTAGGAGACAGCCTTTGCCGAGACATTGTTTGATGGCCAGGCACAGGATACTTTTGTGTTTGGGAATATTGTTGAAAGAGTCCCAAACCAGATGTCAGTCCAGAAGATTAATGTGCCTCTGCTGTCGCCAATCTTTTTCCTGGTCAGAGAGAGGCCTGGCAAGACACCTCAACTGGAGCAATTTCTTCCAACACCAAGATGACTGCTTTGGAGCTTTGATGCCCCATAAGCTTCTAGCCTTAAAGGTATGTTCTACACCAAACAACCCATATGCTCTGGTTTGATCCATCGTGATTTCTCCATATATGCCTTAGAATGCTAGCTTTATTGGAGATTTCAAGGCTTTGAATTAATCCATAGATTTCATGCACGAAAAAGGCAAGAATATGCCATTTTCTATTCATTCTAGATACAGCAATTGCCGAAAATAGAATTTTTTCCACATTTGTACATCTAACAGTGTGTTTTAGACAAGTTTAGCAAAAGAATGGACTTTGTTGTAGCTTCTAAAATTATCTAAAAGAACTTGTCTCTCTACTAGTATATTATTAAGTGCTTAATTGGTTTTATTGCTAGATCGAAGGCAAAATATACAAAATGATGTGGAATACTAAAAGCTTTTCAAGACTGATATATTATTAATCATATTCATTAAACATATAATAAAACCATTCAAGCCATGATACATTTAAAGTCATGTTACAATGAAGCATTCACATATGATCGACTAGGCAGCCTTTTTGAGAAGGGAAAAATAGAGTCTTGAGAGGTATCTATCATGTAGAAGAATTTATTTCTTTTATATTATTGAGTGCTTGGTTTTATTGTTAGAAGGCAAAAATATACAAATTGATGTGGAATTTATAAGTGGCAGATTTTGGAATGGTAATTGTACAAATTCCAGATTTTTTAGTTCTAAACTTGCTTTATAATTACTCCCTCCATTCTAAAACAATTGCTCCTCGATCTCAACCTTTTGAGATGTCACTAAATATATATTCCCTTCGTAAAATCTATGTAGAAGGGACTATATATTATTTTAGAATTGTGGGAGTACATGAAGAAATTATGAACTGCTTGGAGCGAATAATCCCTATCCAAGCTGCCATATTTAATAATTAATGTATCACTTATTATTATCCAAGCTGCCATATTAATGTATCACTTATTATTAATTAGTCCTAATCACTAAAAGAAGCAAATGGCTTGGTATTACTCCATGGAAGACTATCACCAGAGCTGGTGTGATAATTTTTAGGAAGTTGCTTCTTGCCTCCATACTGCTCTGATCAGTACTCACTATCAATTTTTAGGAAGTTGCTGTAATAATTTGTTGGTCCTAAAGTTCCTTAAGCATTGGCTTGCCTCTTTAATGTCAAAAACATGTGTAGCTGTAACGACCCAAATCCTCATGAATCCGGATCATTAAACGGGTCCTTACCCGACCCAAAATCATCCAAGGGTAAAACGGTCATTTCACGTCAAAATTAAATAACAAGGTCCAAAAAGTGCAAATTGGTAATTTGCCATGAATCCATAAATTGAGACTCAAGGGTATAATAGTCCTTAACTTGAATCACATAGTAAATAAAATAAGGTTCGGGGCAAAATAGTCTTTTTGGGGCAAAAAAATAATTATGGCATTTAATTGGGTCATAATGTAATTACTTGCAACATCAATTGGGTGCCAAGTGTAATTTAAGAACTTAAATTGGCAATTACATGAAAAGGCAGAACCGGTCGAGGTATACTCCTTATACGTCGACTGGTTTGGGTTATGAACAGTGGGAAAACCCACTGCCATGATACCGGTCGACTGGTTTGGGATACCGGTCGACTGGTTTGGGACGTTTACAACTCAAACATATACTGTGAAGATACCGGTTTGGGTTATACGTCGACCGGTTCATGAAAATCTTCACTCCCACTTTCCACTGTCCTGTGTAACCCCAATACACCCACTTCTGATCGTTCAACCACCCACGTCCCAACACTTACGTGCAAAATTAATACATTTCAACAATAAATTCGAGTACAACAACCACGTTATTAACGTAATTTACCACACATCACTAAAATACACTAAACTGATTTTGAGTGAGTAATACTTAATTACATTTTCTCAAGAATCATTCACAAACTTAATTACATTCCCAAAACTATAATTACACATGAAATAGCTAAATACAAGATAGCAAAAAAAATCATCTTCTAACAACTTTCAATTTTGAGGTGGATTGGTATCCGCCGGTTCTTTTCCAAGACCTGAAAAAAATAATATATAGTAGGGTGAGCTATATGCTCAGTAGGTGACACTTAAGACACACATCTTGTGTCCTTGTGAATCCAATCAAAGCATAGGCCAATGGGAAATGGGGATCATGCAATGTAGGGTTAAAACAACTTCAATGTCAATTCCAAGTGTAAATAATGCAATGCAATGCATGATATGTCACTCCCCATTTTTCATTTCTCAAAACCATACTTTCCAACTGTTAATACAGCCTGCCTTTTGGTAACCCCGCCGCGACACGAGAGGAGGATTGGCTAGTGTCCTTGACTCTTGGTAACCCCGCGGCGTCATTATGGGGCCCAGCTAGCTCAACCACGCTAGGGCGACTCCCTAAACCCCTCTAGGCTATATTAACCTCCGGCCCGTTGGTAACCCCGCAGCTACCGGGTTTATCAAAATCATTTCACAAAAACTCTTCTCCCAAAATTCCCGTTTTCATTTCAAAAACTGATTTCTCCCATTTCATGCAACCCAATGGCATGTACATGTATATGTGTCTCAAGCTTACAATATTATGGCATGTAGAAGTTTTACATTTCATAATTACTTCACAACTAAGCATATATCATATTCAACATCATCAATTGAGTCATCAACACATTAAACACAACAAAACTATCACCACAACATGCTTTTCACATAGAACAAATCATAATCAAAATCATGAATTTCTCTAGACATCAATTACACAACATTGAAACAATTAACTCTCAAATTAAGCATGTTTATCACATAAAGGAGATATAATTCACAATGGAACAAGAAGGAAGTGGATTAAGGGCCCCTACCTCGAAAATGGACAAAACCCTTGAAATGGGTCCTCAAATTCGAACTCCAAGAGGGCACCAAATTTGGAATTTCAGGTATGGATGCGTAGAGCTCGATGTGCTCGACGTTTTGCCTCAAACGGTACCTTAATCCACCAAGAATTGAGAGAATAATCAAAGCTCAAAGATTGTTTTTCAAGTGGAAAGAAAAAGAAACGGAAAATGAGAGAGGGAGAGAAGCTACGGGAGGGAGAATGTGTGGAGCAAAGAAGTATGGTCTCAAGACCATTTCAAGTGTGAGTGGTGGGCCCTACCAGATTTTCTTTTCTTTTCCCTTTTTCTTTTACTTCAATTCTTACACCACACACACAAGTGCACCACATGCAAATACTACTTAATCCACATAATTTAAAATGCACAATGCAAATGGACCCAACCACAATCCCGAACACAACATGCGAAAAGACAGAAACACCTTTGTCTCCACGAATTATTGGAAAAATGAAAATGCTGAAAAATCAGAAACATCACAATCTCCCCAACTTAAAAGGATTTCGTCCCCGAAATCAAGCCGTACTTGGGGAAGAGAAAACTCTGGATACTTGGAGTGAACCTGCTGTTCAAGCTCCCAAGTAGCCTCCTCGACTTCGTGGTGCCTCCAAAGAACTTTCACTAACTGCATCATTTTATCCCTTAACACC